ATGATGAAAAAAACAAGAAAGACAAGTGAATATATATATGTTATAATCCCAAAACAGCGAACATTACAATAACCTTGAGTAATATAAATAAGGATTTACTTCGAGATTTTAGATGATGCATTGCTGGTCTTTGGAGAAGCGATGGGTGGTGCATTTCCAGTTGGCAAGGAAGAAGTTGATAGAGCATCTACAGAATTCTAAAACAGGAAAGATAATTGAAAGAAAAGAATTTAGGACTGATGATGACGAATCGGAAGAATAAGCAGGCCTAAGGAAAATTAAAATTCAATACTTACTTAAACCTGTTACCCCTCGTGCAGAAGCATAGATCACCCACCAGCATTCTCTATCAAACTCTACCCTGGGAAATCCTTTCCAGTTGCTATTCATTCTTTTGATGTCCGCTTCCGATTCCCGACACAGTTTGTTCCTTGGCCTTTATTTTTCCCTTTAGCCTTCAGGATTCCAAGTTGATGCTTGCTTCGCGATTCAGTTTGATGTTTTCCTCAATGTATGACCTATCCACTTCCAGAGTTTTTTCCTAATTTCCTCTTTAGTTCGAAGCTGGTTTGTTTTTTCCACGGTAGGCTGTTGCTGATTGTATTCGACCAACGGATCTGGAATATTTTGCACAGACAGCTGTTTGTGAATACTTGTACCATTTTGATGATGGTTGTGGTAGCTATCGAAGTTTCAGCTCCGTACAGTAGAGCTGTCTTGACATTCGTATTGAAGATTCTGACTTTGATATTAGTTGACAGTTGTTTTGAGTTCCATATGTTCTTCAAGTGTAGGAATGCGGCCCTCGCTTTGTTAATTCTCGCCCTTACGTCTGCATCGGATCCTCCTTGTTCATCGATGATGCTGTCCAGGTATGTGAAGGTTTCCAACTCTTCCAAAGTGTCTCCATCAAGTGTGATTGGGTTGGTGTTCTCCGTGTTTTATTTCAGGATTTTGCCTTCCCTTGTGTATGTTGAGGTCTATTGATGCAGCGGCTTCTGCTACACTGTTTGTCTTGACCTGCATTTGTTCGTGTGTATCGGATAGAAGGGCCTGATCGTCTGCGAAGTCCAAATCGTCTAGCTCATCCCAAGCTGTCCATTGTATTCTGTGCTTCCCGTCAGATGTGGAGGTCTTCATAATGCAGTCAACAACCAGAAGAAAGAGCAAGGAGGAGATTAAGTCGCCTTGTCTGACTCCGGTTCTCAATTGGAATGTGCCTGTGAGCTGCCCTGCATATACAACCTTGCAGTGTAGTCCGTCGTGTGAATCTCGGGTGATGTTTCACGATCTTAACAGGTATGCCATAGTGTCGAAGAAGTTTCTATACGGTTCGCCTATCCACACTGTCAAACGCTTTACCACAGTCAAGAAAGTTGATGTATAGTGACGAATATAACTAAATTGATTGCTCGATAATGATCCATAGTGTGGCGACTTGGTCTGTACAGGACTGATCCTTACGGATTCCGGTTTGTTGATCTCGAATCTGTGTGTCTGCTTAATCTTTCACCAGGTTCAGCAACCCTTTGTTGAAAACATTTCGTGGTACTGATAGTAGCCCGACCGTTGCTGCTACCTTGATGTGGTGGCCAGGTTTGCATACTGTGATGAACCAGTCGAGCCATACTGGTTAGAACAATCGTTCCTCAAGGTCCAACCATGAGACAGGTCAGTTGAAGAACGGTAAGACTAAAAGCAGTAAACTCAAGGTCCGAAGGCGAAGTCGTTCTGCTGACTGTACAGAGGTGTGACGGCAGTAAGGTGTTTCCTTCAGACAACCAGCATGACAGCGATGCTGCCTTCCCACAAGGAGGGGTGGGGGGTCAGAAGAAATCGACCCTAAAAATACACATCTCTTCTTATCCCACGGATTTCCGTCTCCGGTGGTAAGGTTCCAAAATTTACGGAGCCAACACGAAAATTACTCACAAAACGTCGTGTGTGACCGACATCACGCAGTTGTTCCCTTGACACTGTGGTCACGCTCTCAGACTACTAAGATCACCTCTAATCCGACGTCTTTTTCAGGTACTTCCAAAAGAACCCTTCCACGATGTGGACAACCGGGAAGTGATAACCGCTCTCATACTTCTAACAGCACTCAAGACCATTGTATTGATAATCAGTCTTCCCCTTCAATTCCTACTATTCCTCTTACACCATCCCAGGTCTACTGAAACCTCACTCCAAACTATACATTAGAGCATTCAACGTACGTACCGTATGTCAAATCGGCCAGCAGACCTCCTCGGCTAAAACCTAAGAATCTCGTACCATTAATGTATGCTGTCTCCGAAACACGCATTTAGGATTCTAGTGTGGTCATTCACTTGATCTCACCTCGCCAAAACAGAAAGCCGACGAGATACACTCTGCGTGTATCTGGAGACCCGATGACTAGTTCATGTGGACTGGCAGGTGTAGGTATATCGTTAAGTACAATGGCAGAACAAGCACTATTAGACTGGAACCCCGTTAACCGTCGTGTCTATGTGCTGTTAGGCTAAACGGCTCCGTAAGAACTTCGAAGGAAAGGGACACGTCGTTGCCTTTTCATCGCTCTCACTGACTGCAGCCTGGATGAAGTGAAAGATGACTTTCACAGAAGGCTCAACGCTAAGACAAAGTACTCGTAGCAGGTGACTTTAATGTCCAGGTAGGTAGCTTAAACCAAAGAAAAAGACATTTAGATGCGAATTTTGATATTCCGGCTCAGCGAACAGATAATGGTGACTGCTGCAACAACTGTGCACAGACAATCGTTTACTTTTAACAAATACTATTTTCAGCATAAAGAGAGATATCGTTTCACATGGCGACCACCTGCATCAAACCAACGATGGACTCAAATAGACCATATTGCCATCAGTCATCATTGGAGTGGCTCAATAGAAGACTGTCGCTCGTTTTGGAATATCCGTTTGGACTCCAATCATGCTCTAATACGAGCATGTGTTTGCTTGCGTCTCTCTGAACGCGGGCAAATTACATCGAGAAGACCCATTAGAGACGAACTCAGTGACGAGGAAGTCAAAAGTAGATTACAAGAACAACTGAGGTCACATTTACGTAGTTCTGAAAACGAGACTGACCCAGATGTTGCTTGGAACGAACAGCTGTGGAAATAGCAGTGACATCTATTAGTGATTTAAACCAAAGGGTTACGAAGAACCAATGTATTTCTACTAAGTCTATTGCACTGATGGATTCTCGCGAACTTACCCCATCAGGCCCTAAACACGATGAAAAACGAAAACAAATCAAATCTAGATTAACCATAAGTCTAAGGAACGACCGTGAGCAGTGGTGAGCAACGAAAGCAAAAGAGATGGAAAAGGTGGCGGTTGTAGGCAACACCAGACAGCTTTTCATACTAATAAAAGAAACGAATTAGGAAGTTATGTGTGAGACGATCTCGGAAAAAGACGACACTTATCTGCTCTCAGCCCAGACGCTTAGAACGGTGGGCGCTGCACTTTGAGGAGCAGTTTAACCGGCTTTCAGTTACTCTACGACTACCCACCATTCCCAAACAGTCTGAATGGAACATTGAAGTAGCCCCCTCGACTCTAATTGAAGTTCAAAAGGCTATAGTTAATCTGAGACGAGGAAGAGCAGCTGGTCCAGATGGATTGGCTCCAGAGGTCTTTAAGTACGGTGGTCCAGCTTTAGTGATTAGGTTGATCAATAATTCAAAAAGACCTGGGAGTTGGACGTGATTTCATCTGACTGGTCGCAATTACTGATTGTCCTGATATATAAAAAGGGGTCAAAACCATCCTGTGATAATCATAGAAGGATTAGTTTGACTGCCGTAGCATCTCAATTACTGGCCTCGATAATTATCAGACGCCTTACTAAGACATGTGAACTGCAAACACGAGAAACTCAGCCTGGATTCAGACGTGGTCGTGGCTGCGTCGACCACATATTTATCATTCGTCAGGTTCTAGTACACAGGCATACTTATCGGCGTCCGACAATGGTGGTCTTCCTTGACTTAAAAGCAGCATTTGATTCCGTAGACCGCGAGATCCTGTGGCAGTGTTTGTCATTGAAATGCGTACCTCAGAAGTACATAAACCTTGTGAAGGCTCTTTACTCGAACACTACTAGTCGAGTCAGAGCCTATGGTAAACTGTAATCTGATTTCTCAACCACAAGTGGTGTCCGTCAAGGCTGTCCATTTTCTCCATTTTTGTTTGACTCCATCATCGACCTACTGATGGAAATAACGTTCTCGTCGTCTGAATTTTCAGGCATTGGTCTCCTACGAGGAGGTCCACTTATCGACTTAGAATACGCAGATGACGTAGTCCTGTTTGGTGAAGACGCTGATAGAATGCAGTCTTTTGGTAGAATTGAGAAACAATGCCAGAATGTTTGGGATACGTTTTTCCCCCTTTAAAGGAAAATTGTTGGTCCAGGACTAGCCTGTGTCAACACCTAAACTAAGGATAGGGAGTGAAGTAGTCGAACGCGTCGACAACACTTATCTTGGAAGTCTCGTCAGCTCTAATGGGTTGGCGTCTGAGGAAATCTCTGCACGGACTCTGAAAGCTCGTTTGGCTTTTTCCAACTGACGTCACTTATGGCGGAGGAGAGATACATGCCTGGTCCTACGTTGTAGCTGACTGATTGACTAACCGATAGTAGTGTGATACCTCTGTAGTTTTCAGATTTGCTGAGATTTCATTGCTTTGATATCTTGATGAGGTGTCCTTCTTCCACTCAGTCAGTGGCACTTTTTATTCCTCCCAAATCTTCCCGAATAGAAAATGGAGCATGTTCGCAGTTACTTCGATGTTTGGCTTCATATTGTTGTCTAATATTTGGTTTTCTGGCAGCCTTTGTTGTCATGGCATTCTTTCACATATTTTCGTTTATCAACTCTAACGCTTCTCTACTTGATTGTTTGCTTCTGTGTATTTGGCCTGTAAATTAGCTTTATCTGCACTTGTCCGATTGTTTTTAATCCGTTTTCTTGTTCTTCCTTTCCTGAAACTTGTACAGGTTTTCCATAGAGACCCATTCCTTATGACGATGCTTTGTGATGCTCAGGACCACCTGTTACATTGAAGCTAGTGCTTCTTTGATTCCTTTACAATTGTCCTGCATAGTATTTTCTTCTTCTCTCAGTAGATCTTGCAAGACTTGGGACCTGTTGTTGAGAGTTATCTTGAATTCGTTGAGTTTGTCAGTATGTCGAAGGCTGCATTGAACCATCGTATGACTGTTTCCCCAGACGTTCAGTGTTTCTTTAACTTCAGTTTCATTTTGGTAGTCACAACTAGGTGGTGATCTGAAGCTATGTCAGCTCCTCTCCTGGTTCCCACGTCTTTCCATTGACCTGCTGAATTTTTTACTGATGTAAATATGATCGATCTGGTTCCGTGTAGTGTTATCCGGTGAGACCTATGTAGCTTTGTGTATGCATTTGTGGGGGAATGCACATAAATTTTCAAATCCCCTAACATTCTCGTTCCTTCCTCACAGTCCACATTGTTCCATGATATCTTCATACTCGGTGTTGTCCATTCAGACTTTGGCGTTTAGGTCTTCCATCAGGATGGTCGAGTCCCTCCTTGAGCACTTCGCTATAATCGATTGCAGCCTCTCGTAGAAGTGATCTTTATCATTGTCGTTACTATTAGTGAAGGGCGCGTAACACTGAAAACACTCATTGTGATTCCTTCCTGCCTTGTTTTGAAAGATGCGGATGATCCTGGGTACATGAGATTCCTATCCTATAAGTGCATAACGTGCTTCTTTAAAAAGCATCAGCGCAACTCCTTAAGTGTGCGAGTTATTTTCTTCTTCATGACGAAAGTAGAGGGGCATCTCTCCCGAATCTAACGTTTTCTGTCTAGCTTGGGTCTAATGGGTACCACTGATTCCGAGCACCTCCAAGTTGTATCTCCTCATTTCTGTAGCTACTTGATTAGTTCTGCCGGCCTCTCACATTGTCCGAACATTCCATGTACCTATATTAATTGTTGCTCTGGTTGTTAGAAGAAGCATCGGTTTTCCCCATGAGGCGTCATAATTTTTTTGAATAAAGATGCTTTAACATCCAGGGCAGTTTAAATGGTTCAAATCGTTTATTGTGGTTAGAATTTTTTTTAGCAAGGTTGTCTTCTACGGGATGGGGATGCTGAGCTTATGACCAACCTTTCTCCTTTACACAGGGTAGGCTGGTTTCAGAAAAAAAGGAATCGCATACACATTATGACAGGTAGTTATATGAAAAAAACAGAAGAGTTATTTACAGTTTCTTCACCTAGTTACCATGTGAACCGTCCTTTAAACTGAGTACTTTATTGTAAATATTCAATGTTAGCAGTCTGTCTCATCGAGTAATCAGTGTGTACACACACACACACACAAATGAACAACAGTTATTACCATACACAAACGACCTTGGTATATTATTCAACAAGTTGCTTGGGGTTAAGGTCAAATATGAAACTAATTTTCGTATGTAAAGAACTAAGCAACGAAAAATAATATATAAAACATACAGGTAGCTGACGCCCTTTTGTTTCTATTGGTAGGAAAAGGGATACAATTGAGACTATCAGGGTTACAGAGGCATATAAAGATAAAGCTCCAATTTCCGACACTTCTGGCATCATTACTTGAGCTACATAAGGTGTGACCATTGCACCCAATCGGGCAATCGAACTGAACATCCCGACAGCTACTGCACGAACAGTTGTAGGATAGACCTAAAAATAAAGATATGGGATGGGTTAATATACAATAATGTGGCTTTAATCGATTAAACCTTAAGTATGAACTATTGAGAATCACTTGGAGTATTGAGTCAGTAATAAGAAATCAGAAAACAATAAATAAAATAATGTTACGGCAGTGTTATGCGTCGATTTTTTAATAAGGAACGAAGCTGCTTATTTTCACCAAAAGACAATCAAGTTAATGAAAAAAATGGAATTGTCTGAATTCAGGATAACTATGCAAACCATACAAATAAACTAAACAAATATTAGATTCCATGATGTTATATTAGCTATTAAAATTATATACGGTAGTAAGAAAGTCAGTCAGTCAGTCAGTAACAACGTAGAACTTCGTACGTACGTACATCAGTTCGAGTTGCCACACCACATTAGCACAGAGATGCAGTTGTCGATTCAAATCCCGTAGTGGTAGAGGTAGCAAGAGTATAAGCAGTAATCGGGAAGATTAGGGTTTGAAGATGTTATTCAAGTAGTATAATCCAGTGAAATAAATTTGGAAAGAAAATAAGGGACATGAAGTATTCAGAAGATTAGAATTTGTAAGAACACAAAGAGTGGATGCACCTGCGCCATTGCAAACGGTTTGAGCCATGTCATTCAGGGTCTCTAACCATCGGTTGCTATCATCTCGCGGTCCCCAACCAGGTAGTCTACACATACCAACATGACTCAGTCCACTTTTCAGTGACTTCATGGACTTGTGTCATGTTTTGGTTTGGCCGCCTCTAGCTTTCTTCCAACCTACTCCTATACCACTGAACATAGCACGTCGAGGCAGTCGGTGGTTGGGCATACGTAACACGTGTCCGAGTCATCTCAACTGATGAAGTTTCACTACGTCATCAATTGATTTGCCATCCTTACCTAGTACCCGTTTCCTAACAACTGTGTTACTTACTCGATGGCCTCAGGATATACGAGCAATGTTTCAAAGACACCTATGATCGAATACTAGGAACCTACGAATATCCTCTACTCTTACCGGCAATGTTTCACTGCCATAAAGTAGGATGGAACGAACTTCTGCGCAGTAAACCCGTCCTTTGGTTGATAGACGGATATCTCGCCTACGCCATAAATGACGCAAGTTGGCAAACGCTAATCGAGCCTTCTGTATCCGTGCTGAGATTTCGTCACACACCAGACCACAAGGGCTGATGAGACTCCCAAAATAAGTGAAGTGGTCGACACACTCAACTACTTCACTCCCTACCATTAGTTCGGGTGTCGATGCAACCCAATCCTGAAGCAACATTTTGCATTTCGAGGGGGAGAATCGCATCCCGAACATGCTTGCATTGTTGCTTAGAGTGGTCAGAAGACTCTGCATTTTGTCAGCGTCTTCACCAAATAGATCTATGTCATCAGCATATTCTAAGTCAACAAGTGAACCTCCCGGTAGAAGTTCAACCCCTGGGAATTTAGATGAGGAGAGTGTTATCTCTAAAAGAACGTCGACCACAAAGTTGAACAAGAATGGGGAGAGTGGACAGCCCTGACGAACACCACTTGAGGTAATCAATTCTGACCACAGTTCGCCATAAGCTCTCACTCGACCAATTGTGTTCGAGTAGAGAGCCTGTATAGGGTTAATGTACTTCTTTGGTACTCCTTTCAGTGACAAACACTGCCATAGAACCTCACGATCAACAGAGTCGAATGCCGCTTTAAGGTCGAGAAATAATACGATTGTGGGGCGTCTGAATGTGTGTCTGTGTTCTAGAACCTGACGTAGTGTGAATATCTGATCTATACAACCACGTGCAGGTCGAAAACCAGCCTGGTTTTCTCTAATCTGCTCTTCACGAGCTTTGATTAGGCGTCGAAGTATTATTGAGGCTAATATTTTAGACACTATATTTGTCAAACTGATTCCTCTGTGATTGTCACAAGAGGACTTTTGTCCTTTCTTATAGACTGGCACGATCAGTGATTGAAACCAGTCAGATGGGATTACGTCCAGCTCCCAGATTCTACCTAAGACCTCGGTTAATCTCGCTGCTAATACTGGACCACCATCCTTAAAAATCTCAGGAGTAAACCTGTCAGGGCCTGCTGCTCTCCCTCGCTTCAGATTTCCTATGGCTTTTTCTCTGAGATTGTTTCGCTAACGATCGGGTTCCAGATTCCGGTTCCCTTAACAAGTCTGAACAATTGTCTGCTATTACCTATTGCCGCTGCCTTTTCTATCTCTCTTGCTTTTGCTACCCACCACTGTTCGCGATCATTGTGTAGGCTGCTTGTCAGCTTGCGCCTAATCTGACTCCGCTCTTCATTATGTTTAGAGCCAGGTGGAATGAGTTTCCGAGCATCTATCAGTGCGATAGATGCTGCTGAGATCCAGTGTTGCTCCCTAACCTTACGGTTTACCGTACTAGCAGATATCACTGATGTTTCCACAGCTTTTCGGATATCATTCCATGCTGCCTCGGAGTGGACATCACATACATGGCTGCCTAACTGTTCCTGAAATATACTCTTAGCTTGACTACCATTAATTAGGACCCTAAGAGGTTTACTTGCAGCGTCTTTCCTACGTCCAGTAAGACGCAGACAGATACGCGCTCTCACTAGAGCATGATCTGAATCTAAGCATGTACTCCAGAATGAGCGACAGTCTTCTATCGAGCCCCTCCATCGGTGGCTGATAGCGATGTGATCTATTTGGGTCCAACGTTGGGACGAATTAGGGGGTCGCCACGTTAAAAGATGTATTTGTTTATGCTTGAAGTTAGTATTTGCAAGGAACAGGCGGTTATCTGAGCATAGCTGCAACAGACGGTCGCCATTATCTGTTCTTTGAGCCACGACACCATAAGATCCACCCAGATGTCTTTCCCTATCGCTTAGTTTACCTACTTGAGCATTAAAGTCACCGGCCACTATTACTACATCAGAGCGCCTAGCTTTTCGGAGAAGGTCGGAGAGCTTTCTGTAAAACTCATCTTTTACATTATCTGAGCTGCAGTCAGTGGGAGAATTGACAGAGACGACGAAGAGGCAACGACGCGTGTCCCTATCTTTCCGAGTTCTCACTGTTCCTTTTAGTCGGACAGCGCACAAACGACTGTCTACTGGGATGCACTCTAAGAGAGCTAGCTCTGCCCTAGGACTTAATGCTATACCTACGCCGGCGAGGCCACGGGAAGCAGAATCTGGGCTTCCAGATACACGAAGTGTGAATCGAGTCGGTTCTTTATTTTGGCATGGTGAGGTCAAGTGAATGACGCTACTTGGATCCTGTATCCGCGTTTCGGAGACGCAGCACACATCGATGGCGCGGGATTCTAAAGTTCTAGCTAAGGAAGCCTGTTGTCCTATTTGGCATAGTGTTCGGACGTTAAAAGTTCCTACGTGTAGTTTAGAGCGTGGTTTCAGGAGACCAGGAATAGCGTTCCGCGTACTCGAATCGTTTGCCCTAGCGGTGCGAGATGATAAAGAGACGTGAGAATGGTTAGTCATGGAGATAAGAGAGGTATAAGGAGGTGTAGGAAGGATTTGAATGTGACCAACTTGGTCTCGTGTGCTGTTACGGGTATGATGGCTGATATCACTTCCCGGCTACCCACACCGTGGAAGGGTATTTCTTGAAGAACCTGAAAAGGAAATTGAATTAGTGTTGGTCTTAACGACCTCGGAGCTTGACCACAGAGCCCAAGGGACAACTGCTTGAGGCCGGTCGCGCACGGCCTTTTCTTGGAAGGTTTTTAATTTGTTAGCTCCGTTCTTCAAAGGGCCTTAACGGAAATCCGTGAGGTAAGGTGAGGTGTGACATTTTTAGGGTCGACATTTTCTAACCCCACCCCTCCTTGTGGGAAGGCAGCATCGTTGCAGATGCTGGTTGTCCGAGGGAAACACCTTACTGCTGTCACACCCCTCCACAGTCAGCAGTACGACTTCGCCCTCAGATCTTGAGTTACTGCTTTTAGTCTTATCGTTCTCCAATCGACCTGGCTGGCATGGTAGAACCTACAGGAACATATGTTCCAGCCAATATAGCTCAGTTGGGTCATCACGATAGGCAAGCCCGACCACCGCGTCAAGGTAGCAGCTTCGGTCGGGAGAAAATGTGTGTATGAATAAAAAAGAACGCTAGTACGATTTAAAACAATGTTATTATAGGTGTAAGATGTGAAATCATTATATTGAGTGAAGATGCTCTTGAATTTCAATATCTTTTACAATTAGGAAAAAACATTTATCACGCTGTGTTTTCTTGAGGTGGTCATTCACATTTACTGGTTAAAACATTCTTTCGTAAGAAATGAGATGGGGTGGTTAGCAGAAATTACATACGAATACTTACAAAAAGATTATCAGCAAATAACTCCCAAGGAACTTATGTGTAAAAACTTACCTCCGTTGTGTAAACGTATGCACAACTAAATAAACCGGCAGACAAAGCACGCAAAACAAATAATAGAGCTGTTAAGGCTGACTTAGGCATACAAAGATAAAGTAACATAAACAGAACAGCTATAAGTCCATTCCACGTAGCCAAAGTAATCTTTCTTCCAGCTAAGTCGACCATGAAAATCATTAATGGTATACCTGAAAAAGAAACAGACAAGTGACTGAAAGAACCATTAAAAAGGAATAGTAGCTGACTTGAAAACATGAGAAGGAAGGAAAGACTAACTAACGAACAGATAAAGTACAGTCAAAGCTTTTAAACGATTTTTTTACGTAAAGAACTATTAATTCGCTACTTCACAAGTCGATGATCACCTACTACAATTACCTTACAAATATATGCATTTTTACGTAGTAGTCGAGAAGTAAAAACAAGTCAGGATTACTTTTATTCCATATAAGGCTATTTAGGGTGATATCAGAAACAAATGTCAGGATTAATGACAAGCCAAGTCTGTGAAGGTGAATGAGATAGCTAATCTATTCCTAGTTAGATGATGAGAACAAATAAAATACACCACGGAAGTGCCATAAAAAGGTAAAATCAAAGTTGAGGAAAACGAATATTCAATATTCTGTGAGATTGATTGTACGTGTTGCACTAACATCAAACTAATCGAAATACTAAGATACTAGCGAATGCGAATGATACCAACAGATCATGGATAACCAAAAAAGGAAGCTAGGAAAGATACTCACATCACAACATTTGACAATCTTGACAACAGAGATCGAGATATCAAGCAGACGACATAGAGAACAAAGAAACACCCTCAAGAACAAAAACTAATCAAGATTGCAAAGTCACCCATAGAAGAAAACACAAACAACTGTGTGGTCAACCTGGTAAAACAACCTCTGATGAAGAAAGAATAACATCTCCGAAAAGCATTTAACTACAATGCACGTGACACTTAAAACTAGAATTCTTCGCTGCACTAGAGTCATCACTTTAAACTGTCTGGATAAATGAAGAAACCCAAGAGAAATTAAAACAAACCATAGTACCGCTAACTCGACAGGAAAATGAGGACACCCGATTGACCACACAAGAACAGGAAATTTTAAAGAAACTCAAAACAAGAAAAGATATTATAATAGTTCAAGTGCAAAAAGTAAGTCAGTCAGCTACAACGTAGGACCAGGCACATATGTGCATCTGTCCAGGTTGCCATACCGCATCAGCACAACAAGATGAACACCGGATTCATAGCAGTGCTTAGGTCAAAGGTAGTAATATGTAAGAGAAAGATTGCATATAGAGATATAGTACAAGAAGAAAGAATTGGTTCGTAGAAAGAAAGATATTAAGCGATTTTAATCTCTTAGTTTAAGGGAAGACAGGGAGTGTATACACCGACGCCATTGTGATCGATTCTGAGCCATGTCACCAAGAGTCTCCAACCATTGGTTACGATAGTCACGCGGACCCCAACCAAGTAGTCTGCATCTACCAACATGGCTCAAACTAGAAGTTAGTGACTTCAGGCACTGATGCCACGTTTTGGTTTGGCCGCCCCTAACTTTCTTCCAACCATCTCCAATACCGTATAGCATTGCACGTCTTGGTAATCGGTGTTCAGGCATACGTAACACGTGGCCCAACCATCTCAGTCGATGAAGATTCATAACCTCATCAACTGATTAACCATTATTTTCTAATACCCTGCGTCTAACCTCACTATTACTTACCCAGTGATCCCAGCAGACGCAAGCAATATTTCTAAGGCATCTGTGGTCAAATACTAATAGCTTACGAGTGTCTTCTGCTCTTAATGACCATGTTTCGCAGCCGTAAATTAAAACAGAACGGACTGCCGCGCAGTATACTCGTCCTTTTATTGATAGACGGATATCTCGCCTTCGCCATAGGTGACGCAAGTTGGCAAAAGCCAATCGAGCTTTTCGAATCCGTGATGAGATTTCGTTCGATACCAACCCATTAGGGCTGATCAGACTTCCAAGATAAGTGAAGTTGTCAACGCGTTCGACTATTTCACTCCCTATCCTTAGTTCAGGTGTTAACGCAGACCAGTCCTGAAGCAACAACTTGCATTTAGAGGGAGAGAAGCGCATTCCAAACATTCTGGCATTGTTGCTCAGTGCTACCAGAAGACTCTGCATTTTGTCAGCGTCTTCACCAAACAGGACTACGTCATCTGCGTATTCTAAGTCGATAAGTGGACCTCCTGGAAGGAGATCAATACCCGAGAATTCAGTAGACGAGAATGTTATTTCCATCAATAAGTCTATGACGAAGTTAAACAAAAATGGAGAAAGTGGACAGCCTTGACGGACACCACTTGAGGTTGCAAAAGTAGATGACAGTTCGCCATAAGCTCTGACTCGACTAGTAGTGTTCGAGTAAAGAGCCTTCACAAGGTTTATGTACTTCTGGGGTACGCCTTTCAATGACAGACACTGCCACAGAATCTCGCGGTCTACCGAGTCAAATGCTGCTTTTAAGTCAAGGAAGACCACCATTGTCGGACGCCGATAAGTATACCTGTGTTCTAGAATCTGACGAATGGTGAATATGTGGTCGGTGCAGCCACGACCAGGTCTAAAGCCAGCTTGGTTCTCTCGTGTTTGCAGTTCACGAGTCTTAGTTAGGCGTCTGATAATTATCGAAGCTAGTATTTTAGATATTATATTAGTTAAACTAATCCCTCTGTGGTGGTCACAGGATGATTTTGACCCTTTCTTATATATTGGGACGATAAGTGATTGTGACCAGTTAGATGGAATAACGTCTAACTCCCAAATTTTAGTTAAAATATTAGTCAACCTAATCGCTAAAATTGGACCACCATCCTTAAAGACCTCTGGAGCCAATCCATCTGGACCAACTGCCCTTCCTCGTTTCAGATTGACTATAGCGTTTTGAACTTCAGCAAGAGTTGGGGGACCTACTTCAATGTTCCATTCACACTGTCTGGGAATGGAGGGTAGTTGTAGAGTAGCTGAAGGCCAGCTGAACTGTTCCGCCCATCGTTCTAAACGCCTGGACTGGGAGCAGATGAGTGTATCGTCTTTTTCCGATATAATCTCACATACACTTGACTTATTAGTTCCAGTTTCTTTTATTAGTCTATAAAGCTGTCTTGTGTTCCCTATAGTCTCCGTCTTTTCCATCTCTTGCTTTCGTTGCCCACCACTGCTCACGGTCGTTTCTTAGACTTTTTCTTAACCTAGATCTGATCTGTTGTCGCTCTACATCATGTTCAGAACCTGATGGGACGAGTTTGCGAGAATCTATCAGTGTGACAGACTTTGAAGAAATCCACTGGTTCTTTGTAACTCTGTAGTTTAAGTCGCTAATAGATGTCACAGCTGCTTGTATTTCATTCCAAGCAACATCTGGGTCAGCCTCGTCTTCAGAACTACCTAATCGTGACCTCAGTTGTTCCTGGAACCTACTTTTGGTTTCCTCGCTACTCAGTTCGGTGAGGCGCAAGCAGATGCGTGCCCGTATTAGGGCGTGATCGGAGTCCAAGCAGGTACTCCAGAATGAGCGACAATCTTGTACCGACCCTCTCCAACGATGACTGATGGCAATATGGTCTATTTGAGTCCATCGTTGGCTTGGTGCAGGCGGTCGCCATGTTAGACGATGTCTCTCCTTATGCTTAAAATTTGTGTTTGCTAAAAATAAGCGATTGTCTGAGCACAGTTGCAGCAGACGGTCACCATTATCTGTTCGCTGTGCCGGGATGCTAAAATACCCACCTAAATGCCTTTCTGTTTGGTTTAAGCTACCTATCTGAGCATTAAAGTCACCCCCTACGAGTACTATGTCTGAGCGTTTAGCTTTCTGAAGAAGTTCGGACAGCTTTCTGTAAAATTCATCTTTCACATCATCTGAGCGTAGGCAGAAACGACGCGTGTCCCTATCCTTCCGAGTTCTTACGGAGCCGTTTAGCCGAACAGCACATAGACGACTGTTGACGGGGATCCACTCTAGAAGTGCTTGTTCCGCCCTCATGCTTAGTGCTATGCCTACACCTGCCAGTCCACGAGAACTGGCCATCGGGTCACCAGATACACGTAGGGTGTATCTCGTTGGCTCTCCGTTTTGCCGAGGTGAGGTCAAGTGAATGACCACACTGGAATCCTGTATGCGTGTTTCGGAGACACAGCATACATCAATGGAAAGAGACTCTAGGGTTTTAGCCAAGGAAGCCTGCTGACCGATTTGACATAGAGTACGTACGTTGAAAGCTCCAATGTGTAGTTTGGAGCGAGGTTTCAGTAGACCTAGGACAGAGTTTTGAGCACTAGAATCGTTGGCTATGGTGACACTTGAGGAGGAAGCCGAAGGAGGAAGTTTAGGGTTGAAAGTCGATGTAGGAGGAATAATAGGAATTGAAGAGGGAAGTTGATTATGAATACAGTGGTCTTGGGTGCTGTTAGAGGTATGAGGGCGGTTATCACTTCCCGGTTGCCCACACCGTGGAAGGGTTCTTCTGGAGGTACCTGAAAAGGAAATTGGATTAGAGGCGGTCTCAGTGACCTGAGAGCGTGACTGCAGTGCCCAAGGGACAACTGCTTGGGGCCGGTCGCGCACGGCCTTTTCGTGGGAGGTTTTTGACGTGTTAGCTCCGTTCTTCAAAGGGCCTTAACGGAAATCCGTGAGGTAAGGTGAGGTGTGACATTTTTAGGGTCGACCTTTTCTAACCCCACCCCTCCTTGTGGGAAGGCAGCATCGCTGTCATGCTGGTAGTCTGAAGGAAACACCTTACTGCTGTCACACCTCTGTACAGTCAGCAGTACGACTTCGCCTTCGGACCTTGGGTTTGTTGCTTTTAGCCTTACCGCTCTTCAACCGACCTGTCTGACATGGTAGGACCTTGAGGAACGGTTGTTCCAGCCAGTATAGCTCGGTTGCTTCATCACGATAGGCAAGCCCGACCACCACGTCAAGGTAGCAACAACGGTCGGGTGCAAAAACTGCACTACAGTCTTTATGGAGAAGGAACGATATATCAGGAAAACAAAGACCTGCTTAGGGATAAAAGCCTAAACAAATCAGTGAACAAAATTTCAATCAAGATCAAAAGAGAATGGAATTCAGTGGGTCAGTACTCCCTCGACTTTATGGTGAGTCGAAAATACACAAACCAAATACCCCCAGTATGTCAAATTGTATCGCACATCGGAAGCCCAACATACAATTCATCAACAGAAACTTCAAGAATATTGAAACCTTTAATAGATTCATCCAGTCACGCGATCGAATCTCCCATAAAGATGTTGAATAAGATTACCAACATTCAGACCAACTATAACGAACTGGTGTTATCTGTTATGACTGCGTCGCCATTTGACAAGTTTGGTCGTTGCTAATGGTTATGTATGAAATGCTTATTACTTATATTTGAAAAAAACAAGGAAATATTCCAATTTCCACAACGCGAATTAAAATCACCAATGCTGGAACAAATCAAAATTTATTAACCTCGAAACATGACGAAAACCCTTGTGTCGAAAATACACTCATTTATATATTGATTGTACACCTAGCTTCATTATTAATTAGGATGAAATCACATATATGAAAAATACCCAGAGTTATAACGAATCACATGCTGCATGTCATGCTGTGCATAGTTTACATTAATCTAATACAAGAATATCATATCTTGACTAAACATGATACTCAAATAAATTAATGTTAAACTGAATAAAATATCACACTGTCAAATAAACACAAATATTACTCTGAATAATTAACGAATTGAATTAAAAAACATGGAAGTAATGTTGACCAAAAATCACAATGAGCAAAAAGATGTAATTTTGCCTTTTTAATCCTGTCGTATCAATATCCTTCGATGTGACAGCTTTATTTTTCTCAACTGAACCAAGCTTATCAAAAGGAATCCTATCCCTGTTCCTCATGAACGACATGAATCTCCAAAAGCACACAAGAACATGTCGTTTTATGCTTAAGAACATACTTTCAGTTCAACTATAAAATCTACGAATAAACGAAGGGAATGCAAATATCAGGACTCATTACAGAGGCAATGATGCAGAGATTTGAAGTCACTGGGTTACCAGTGATCAAGACAGAAATTTGGAATCGTTATATGAATGACAATTATTTTATCATCAAAAGTGACGAGTCGGAAAACATGTACCGTCTGATCAGCAACATATTCAATGATATAAAATAAATCCCAAGCAAACCAAAAGATGAAATGACAAAAGAAAAGAACTGGACATCATCTACAAAGTAAATTTTTCCGGTTGCAAAAAACACTACATCGGATAAAATGGATGGCTCCTTCGACTTTGCCTGCACGAACATCAATTAGCAGTCAAACTCCATGACATATCTTCGCTTATATCAGTCCATGTGAACCACTTTGGGCACAAATTCGACTGGGAAAATGTTGAAATCTTAGATAGATGGAATACTAAAAACACTAGATAAGTTTTATAAGCTTGGCGCTCAGGTCAACAGACACAACAAATTGACCCAATTTACCAACCAATCAGAAGAATCAGGGACAAATATAGGACCAAGAATCAGATCAAGGGAACATACAATCAATATAATAAAGTACACAATGACAGGTTAAAGGTCAACAACAACCAATCAAGATCGACGTCGACAGGACAAGCTGTGAGTCATATGATGGGGAATTCAAATACTCCGCCTCTACCTGAAGTTTGGCGCTGATGTTGTTCGGAAGAACAATGAAAGCTCCAGAACTAAACCACCTAGCTCAAAGAACAAAACTCCACTTGAATATGAATGTTAATGATTGGCTACTTGACTGAGTAGTACATCATATTCTATCCTGATTGTCAATTCGGAAATTGAGGGAACCATATGCATCTAATCAGTCACTGCAATAACATAGCTTTTGGACCTCTTAAACTATCGTTAAAAAGTTAAATGACAAAAGACTTAGCAAATTACAACAAGCATATACTCACATGTAAAGCAATTAAACAATGGAATAAACTGGTTTATATTGATCAGCAAGTATAAAAATACTACGTGTATACAAAAATATCTATCGATTTTGTAACAGATTAACAAAATCTGCCACTTTCTATACCTTCAGAAATATGTCTTACGTGATATACATGTATATTGAAAACTGCACTGTGGTATATGTATTAGTTCAATATTTGAATCCATAAGACATAAATACAACATATAAACTGATAATGTAAACAAGTAATACAACATATGGTTGTATGTACACAAACTTCCTGGAAAACGTATCATTAAGTGACCATCGAATAAAACAAATAAAACAATTTAGCAAGAGTATGGATAGAGGGGAAACTTAAAATTAGAGGAAATGTGAATTTAGTTGATCTATTGAATACAATCTAGTGTCCTAAAACCTCTAACCAATAAAACTATCGCCCGTACTACGTAGACAAACATTTAGCGAATTTTGTTACATTTTGGTATAAGAATATTCAGTATAGTCTTAGAGAAAAGTGGTAATTGCTAAGGGAACCTCAGAAGAACTGACGGTGCATTATTTCAAGGGTTCTCAAAAAAGGATCATTTATTCATTGTTCGCCTGATAACATTTTAAAGACTTTTTACAAAACTAACTCAAACTTACTAACAAATTCACCAATTGAAGAGACTAACATAGCGACATAATCATCATCAGACAACTCTTTACAACAAAAGTTGTCTATTTGGCTTGAAGTTTCCAGAAGTGGTGGGACGTTAAAATGGCTCAGGTTACCATGATAGTCTGGGGTTAGAATAGGTTCTAATAAGCAAGAAAAAACGAAAACCAGATAATTATATTACTGTAGATTCACTAAAGCCTTAAACAATGAGTTATTTCTATGCTAATCAAAAACTGTAGTACTACTAGACAAAGAAACATGCAAAGTCTTTCGATTAAGGTTACTTGAAGGCAGAAAGTTAAACTTACTACCAAAACAAGAGTGCTTGAAGCGAAATATTTCAGCACTTAATAGAACGACACCATAATAAACAAATGCTGCACTGAACCATACAATCGGCAACATTAGTGTAGTCACTAAATAGGTTTTCCCAAACATTCCTTTTATACTGCCTCTATCTCGTATCTATAAAACAGATGAAAAGATAATGATCTGTTTAGTTAGCATAAATAATTGATACATTCATCTGAACAAAACAACCCTGATAAAAAGTGAACCCGAATTGGAGGAATATAATTTATTCAACTTGAATATTTTACGGATTGGGACGACCAGTGCAACTATTATTATGTTCGTTCACTTATGAGACTATAATTGGAGTTCTTAAAGTTCCATCTCAAAAAATGTAATACGAACTCCTGCAAATACTAATGTATTTTTCACCAAAATCAAAACTAGTTTAAATGTATATAAACTCACTTAGTCTTTATCCGTTTTCATTTGTTACTTAATTTCTGGTGATTATCACAACGACTAAATCAATATTAGAAAGAATTCAAGTCGTCCTATAAATAACTTGGTCAAATTTAGTTACAACACTTAGTTCATTATTGCTCCCACTTCAACCAGCATTAAAACAGTATTTTGACGCATATCAGTTTGCTTACAAATGCAAAAGAAGTACCTTAGATGCTGCTGTTGTTCTGCAGCATAATACAGCGCTTAGTTTGGGAAAGGGTAAGAAATGTGTTTCATGAACATTTCTAGACTATATTACTTTCGAGAACACTACCACCAAACAAGTTTGGCAGCGTCAACACCGACAGCTATCTGGGTATGTCTTACCTGTTCGAAAGAGAACAGTGTACCATGCTTGGAGAAAAGTCTTCAACGTCTCTACTAATTCAAGATGAGCCACAAGGAGTTACCCTTTTCTCTGTTCTTTCTTCATTTTTTCTTTATGATCTGAGATTCCCTATGGAACATTCTTTATTACGTATGCTAGTGGTCTTATTCCATTTCTGCCTCTTCACTTCCCCTTGAAATGAAAGAATTCTTGTCTCTCATTGGACGATGGTATGTCTCTAATGGTCTTGCACTTGATTATTTTAGGTGTCAAACTACTAATTTTAGCCTGGAACATGGCCAGTACTCAAATACCATTTTGGAGTCCCATTAAGTTTGTAATATCTTAGCGTAAACTTTTCCTTTGATCTCTCTTGAGCTTCTCATGTTTTATTGATATCGAAGAAAGTTTTCCGTTTGACTTATTTTATAGACCACATACTTTTGGCATTACTTGACATTTACTTTTACGATTTGTAAGTTCTTGAATATTATCTATCGTACTTTACTGTTTGAAACCACTCCCTTCCGGGTATTTTAGAAAAGATTTTGTTGTGTTGCGGAGTGCTGAAGGGGGTTAGCAAGGCATGTGGCGAATCTTTTGAAGTCTTGATGAATATAGTTGTGGATGGACAATTTAAATCTTGCGAACTCCTGACAGATGTTACCTTATGCGATAATAATCATCCATTTCATTTATATCTTTCTTCTTGTAAATTTTCTGGCAGAATGAAACATCAATACATCAGAAATCATGGACGCAAGCAAAGGTATAAAGGCTCTAAAATACCGTATCTATCAAATATACTATGAGACGAACATGTTGTAAAACCTGTCTTGGACAAAAACTTGTATTCTTAAACATGTTTCCAACTAAAAACATGTATAGATTCTTATTGTATTAAAAAGAAACTTAATTTCAGGTAGTTTATATACTACTTCCATGTATATGTGTGCACCTACTGACTTTTTTGTTATCGAAATATTTTGTGTTGAGAAGTCCATGTTGTACAACACATGATATTTAATAAAACCATGAATAATAATGATAACAATAATTTCATAATGCTGTACGCCTAAATGATGGAGATACTCCGATTTAACTGGAATTTCTTTTATTAGAAACATGGATAAGAAAACCTAGTAAATAATGGGAGCAAAACACTCTCATTACGAATGAAAACTAACAAATACTACATTGATTAAGAATTGGTATGTTTTATTTTAAGCATCAAGTACATTTCTCGACATAAAGAGATAACACAAGTGGAATTATGGTGAATAAAGATTGGAGATGGTTGGATTAACAAGCTGAATAGATACACCCGGCTCTAGACTTCCTGTCTAAAGTGTGCACAGAAATGTAGGACAATGAACTAACTCTCAGATTGCAGAAATTAGCTGCTGAAGACTTTATGTAAGGTCAATCAAAACTATAGTTTTGCAGCCACAAACAAATCGCCTATCTCGAAACAAGCGATAAAGATATTTTGATTGGTCCATCATTTTTTTCTCTTCGGCATACTTCGGCGTTATTTATAATTTCTGTACTAACGTTTCGTAATTAATGATGACGTGAAACGTTCAATAAGTACAGGTTTCATGAACTCGATTTTGGGTCATACCACTTATATGTAGAGGGTAGTGATGTAACCCAGCTACCCGAACTAAAGTGACACTGGGTTCGAACAAGTGACCAACAGGTTGAGAACTGATTGCTTCAACCACTAAGCTGTCTGATTAAGAATTACAGCAACAGCCGACTGGGGCATCCTCCGATCAATACCATAGTTTATAAGTTTAAAATATCATTTTTAAGGACCTCTTTTGAATCTTTCAAAATTCACTTGAACAACAGTGTAAGTGTAGTTAACGTCTTAAAAAAAGTCCAAGAAAATATGAAAATTTTAGAATCTTACAGGCAGAGATCTTAACTGCAGGTCTTTTTTATTCACAGATTGAAATCATGAGTCAGTTGAAGCTAGACCACCATTGAAAACCTGGAAGCACTGGACGGCCGTTTCGTCCTAGTATGGGACTCCTCAGCAGTGCGCATCCACGATCCCGCACCACGCGGGGCTCGAACCCAGGACCTACTGGCTTCGCGCGCGAGCACTTAACCATTAGACCACTGAGCCGGCATCCAACGGTGTAGAAATATGTGTATGCAAGGCAGTTAATTAAGATCTAATGGATAGAAATAACTTTTTGAAGTGTAGAAGTCTTCTACCTGAAGTTTGTCATTGTTGCAAAACAAGTGATAAAAAAAGTCAATAGAAAGAAAGATAATGATCGTATTCAAGGCCACTCTTTTGGTGGCTTCATAAATATATTTATCACAAATTAAACATGGAAAAGCAGTAGGTAAATAGAAAATTATGTGAATAAACAAATCACAATACTTATGTCTGACATTGAATCGATTTTGAAGAAGCTAAAGGAATTAATAGATATGTACTTTGGAAAAAAAGGTGGATTTCGTTTAATAAACAACCAAAGAAAAGAGAATTATAATACATATTGAATCGATAGAAAGGCAGTACTAACTACAGTGCCATAAACTAAAATGGATGGGAAGTAAAAAGCTCCTTGCTAATTGAAATTCCATTAAGACATGGGTTCCTCTTGCTGAAGTTTGGGACTTGATTCTTCAATAAGTTGTTGAAGGTTAAACTGTTGGGATATTCAGAAAAATATGCCAAAAATTATTTTGTGAAGTCTAACGCTATCCTTTGGACTTGAGATGGTATCATTTTCTTATTGGTCAATATTTATTTCACGTGTCATTTTCCTACCGGTCAATATTGTAAAATGTTATTTTCTATTTTATGGTACGATGTGGTCTGCTTGATTGGTATATAAACAGAGTATGTTTGAAATATAATGATTCATATCTCAGAGGCTGAGACTTGTGTTCTGGACTCAACTGGCTGGGCTAGACAGGGTAGTGGGACCAATCAGAACTCTAGGTCGCTCGCCCATGTTTTACGTGCCGTTGGTCCGACCGATAATACGCTTCGCTATAATCTGCAGTTCACAGTCATAACATAAACACAACGGCGATTCTAAAGTCTCGTCTGGAAAGTAAGAAGTTTATATTAACAAGAGTCATAATAATTTGATATGAATTGGAAAAAAGACTCGAAAGTCTTTTATGTACATGTTTTATACCATCTTGATAGATCACAGAGCAGGTAAGCACTCAACAACATTTGTCATGATTAAAGAAACATTGTGTTTTTGGTGTAACAGCAGTTTACAGCAACAAAAACACATAGATTAGACTTTGATATATTCTATTCCATTGAAAGAAAGTCTGAACAAGGTTGACTATCCAGTTGTAAACTAAATAGGATAATAATTTTCGGTAGAATGGTTTCATGAATATATTTCGTATTTTGAGGAAGTTGTCGTCAGAGATAGATAATAGCAAGTAAACCTATGGGAATAAGATAAAACTGGACAGGCGTTTGGTTCGAGTCTAGAAATTCTTAAAACTGACGTTTGTGCGTGACGAAAATCACCTACAAATAATACAGAAATCTGTACAAAACCCCCTTAATAGCAATTGTTCTAATGGGAAGCTGTGAACTATGTAGTCAAGATAGTTATGAGGAAGAAAAATGCGCATCAACGATGCAACGCAAAGTGGGGGATGGACTAATGTTGAAAATATGTTTCAATGAGGGATGGTGAGACTTCTAAGGTAAGTGAAGTGGTCAACGCACTCAACCATTTCGCTCATTGTCATTAGTTTAGGCATTGGCGCAGATCAACCCTTTATCATTTAAAGGGGAAGACACGCATCCCCAATATGCAAAATCTTGTATTTTATCAGAATCTTCACCAAACACGACTATCATTATGTGCCCATCCTAAACTGATGAACAAAATGTTTGGTAGGAAAAGCTAGATGAGAGAAGTGTTATTTCTAAGAGGATATCTATGAAAAAACTAAACGAAACGGGGGGGGACTGGCGAACACTATTTGAAGTTGACAGCACGCCATTAGCTTTGACTCGACCAATAGAGTAGTTTGTAAAGAGCCTGAAGACGGATGATGTGCTTCTTTGGGGTGCTTTTCAATGACAGACATTGTTACAAAATATTTCTATCTACGGAATCAAATGCTGCCTTAAGGTCAAGAAATATAACCGTCGTCAGGCATCCGTATATATATCCATATTCTAAAACCTGATGAAGAGTAAATATTTTATCTACATATCCACGTCCAGGTTCGAGACCAACCGGGTTTTCGTAGGTTTGCTTTTTATGGAATTTACTTAGGCATCGGATGATCATTACAATACATTGGTCAAACTGATTCCCCTGTGATCATCAAAGGATAATTTTTGTTGTTACAAACTGGGACCATCAGGGATCGACACCAGCTAGATGAGATTATGTTTAGCCTCCGAAATTCAGATATCTCAATCAACCTAACTGCCAAAACTGGACCACCATTCTAAATGACCTCCAGGTTAATCTTTTAGAGCCCGCTGTTCTCCCTCGCTTTAGATTAGGTGTAGCGTTTTCAACCTAGAACAAAACAGCATACGTCAGTTCATAGTGAGGGCGAACATAGTAATAATTTCACAAAATTGAAGGAAATATATTATGATAAAATGCATACTCAATATAATGTCAGACCAACAAAATTCGAGCACTTAATAAACATGCATGCCGATATGATACCAAAGGGCAAAGCCAATTACAAATACCAACTAGAGTTCAACACGCATTTATACGCACGTAATTATACGAAAAAATACAACAGAAGTGTTTGGTTTTTGACTTACAGGTACAGTGGATGATACAAGAGTACCCCTAAGAGGAACAACCCGATTCGTACGGAACAAATCTGCAATAATATGTTCAGCTTCTTCAGTTTTGCCGGCACCAACAAGATATCTTGGAGACTCAGGCAGAAACTAATATTTGAAAATATTACGAAGGAGAATTTTAAAGTAATTTAGCGAATGGGATAACCTGAGGTAATGATTCAACACAAATAAAAGTTTACAAGCGCATATAACTACAGAGCACTGATATTTAGAAAATCAGGTTATTTCAAGGTGGGAATAAAATATATAATCAACCATGAGAGTGTTAATGAGATTTATAATATATTTTTTGCACACGATAATTTATTAACCATCAATCAATAATACCACTGAAGTGTATGATATAAATTTACGAAATACAGTACCAAACTGTAAATTATTAGAGAGATTAGTTAACTTATGTATAGATCATTCAAGGTTTTACAGGGATGAAAAAATCAGTTAGAGAATTAATGGAAAAGTATCCTATATTGGTTTGGGTGATGCCACTGGTTAGCAAATGAAATTAGACTTTTTTAATTGTCATTATGTTATCACTAACCAGATGAATTTGGAAAGAATTATTTTAATTTTACATGATTTCTTTATTTTTTATGGAAGTTACCTACTGTTTAGTAGTAATGACCGTTTCGCAGTTTTGTGAAGATGTTTGCCTTGTATAATACAATTTCCGTTAAGGACCTGAATGAATTTACGAATAAATAATTAGTTCTCGACAAGTTACTATAAGAATGATTAGATTCTGAAAGTCGTTCAGGCTTACTAATTAAGATGAAAATATGCATTTACTATCTGTCAGCTCCCAGTGATCTTTCACAATGAATATTGTTCCCAATTCTGAACGAATTTCTAGTAAATCAAGGATTTGAACATTTATGCTGTAATATTAAAGAAATTCGTCATATAAGATCATTTATCTATCACAACCTGTACTAAAAAAATGAATGCTAACTGGTTACTACACTTTTTGTTAGAGATTTGTAGGACTAAACTGGTCAATCTCTGTTAGTTTTCGACTAACTGACTAGATACTTTAATAATGTTTGTACTTATATCTTGTTTATGACTCAGCAGTTAGTGAAAATCAGGACATATTTCGAAACTAATATCCATCGCTTCACTCACTAGGGTATTATTCTCAAGTTTAGTGAACCACCAGAGCTGCTGTTCGTTCAACAGGTAAGTTTTCATTAGAGTTTGAAATTTCGCACTATTGATTGATTCCTAAGACATTAACAGAGACTGACCCATTCTATTCCAAAGATAAACAGCAGGAAACTCAAAGTTTCAACAAAAGAATCACAATCTAGATAACTTCAAGAAGAAATAACCAGTCACATGATTACTCACAATACGAGTTTAATGAATGCTGATCAATTTAGTAAAATCTGAAATAAATATATCTCAAATTTAGATAAAATGGTATCTTACCCTCAATAAAAATAAGAAAATCAATAGTGGTAAGGCTGAAACAAACACCAGCCATCGCCAGCCAAATCTTGGCAGAATAAGGTATGCCAAACCAACTTCAAATGTGCTTCCAAAAGCCCAGAATAGCTAGACGTTAATATGTCAAGAAAAAATACATAATACATAAGGAATTTAGAGTGGCAAAATATAACCTCTTAGTGAAATTAATTGAATAAATGCAAGACAAAACTATTTCATGATAGTTTTCATAGTAATATAACTGGTCAAAGTGGGAAGGAAAACGATATATGATTACTTAGTCAATAGTTTAAGTAAACACATTAAGGAAGCTCGAAAATAGTTAGTTAGCTTCAGTAACCATAAGCACAATAAAAGAGTAATATACAAACCTTCAAAGGCAATCGGCTAATTACTGATAAGTACTGACAAAATAAGAGAATACTCTGAATGCTTTGTTAGTGTAATTACGGCAGCTAGATAATGATTGGCAGATGAAAAGAGAGCAAAGCAGGTTAACTTAAATTAAAAAGAAAAACTGTAGTATATCTAATTAACGGAAATATAGTGGGGAAAAACATACCATGTTTCGCATTTATTCTACGAATGATTTCAAATTATTGTCTCAGTCAGTCAGTCAGTCAGTCAGTAACAACGTAGAACTTCGTACGTACGTACATCAGTTCGAGTTGCCACACCACATTAGCACAGAGATGCAGTTGTCGATTCAAATCCCGTAGTGGTAGAGGTAGCAAGAGTATAAGCAGTAATCGGGAAGATTAGGGTTTGAAGATGTTATTCAAGTAGTATAATCCAGTGAAATAAATTTGGAAAGAAAATAAGGGACATGAAGTATTCAGAAGATTAGAATTTGTAAGAACACAAAGAGTGGATGCACCTGCGCCATTGCAAACGGTTTGAGCCATGTCATTCAGGGTCTCTAACCATCGGTTGCTATCATCTCGCGGTCCCCAACCAGGTAGTCTACACATACCAACATGACTCAGTCCACTTTTCAGTGACTTCATGGACTTGTGTCATGTTTTGGTTTGGCCGCCTCTAGCTTTCTTCCAACCTACTCCTATACCACTGAACATAGCACGTCGAGGCAGTCGGTGGTTGGGCATACGTAACACGTGTCCGAGTCATCTCAACTGATGAAGTTTCACTACGTCATCAATTGATTTGCCATCCTTACCTAGTACCCGTTTCCTAACAACTGTGTTACTTACTCGATGGCCTCAGGATATACGAGCAATGTTTCAAAGACACCTATGATCGAATACTAGGAACCTACGAATATCCTCTACTCTTACCGGCAATGTTTCACTGCCATAAAGTAGGATGGAACGAACTTCTGCGCAGTAAACCCGTCCTTTGGTTGATAGACGGATATCTCGCCTACGCCATAAATGACGCAAGTTGGCAAACGCTAATCGAGCCTTCTGTATCCGTGCTGAGATTTCGTCACACACCAGACCACAAGGGCTGATGAGACTCCCAAAATAAGTGAAGTGGTCGACACACTCAACTACTTCACTCCCTACCATTAGTTCGGGTGTCGATGCAACCCAATCCTGAAGCAACATTTTGCATTTCGAGGGGGAGAATCGCATCCCGAACATGCTTGCATTGTTGCTTAGAGTGGTCAGAAGACTGTATTTTGTCAGCGTCTTCACCAAATAGAACTATGTCATCGGCTTATTTTATACTAACAGAATGACATCCGTAAGTCCAAATGTTATCCCACAGTAAAACCAATCGAGATTCTAAAAGGTTGGTCAAAATTAATTGAAATAAACTATTTGTTTCTTTTTATCTTCCTACTTCATAGAGAAACGTCACGACAAATAAATGGAATAACAACTTACATTGAAAGCTAACAGAACTTTGGCCCGATGCTTAACGGTCAGAAATTCGGAGAATAACGTGAAGCTAAAAATCAGATGAACATAAATAGGAAATTAACAAACTGACATAGGAGTGACATTTTAATGAAAAACCACGGAAAGTCCACGGTCACTTTGAATAAATTAGACGAATTGTGGTATACGCTTATTTATGACTAAGTCGGTTATGTACTGTTAGATTAGAAAGTTCCATAAAAGTGAGAAGAAATCGGCGTGAGAAACAATGTCTTTTCGTCATCTCCGCCTATGCCCCGACAGATTGCAGCCCGGATGCAATCAAGGATGAGTTTTACCACCAGTTATCTGTTCTTCTCCAGAAAGTGCGTTCGACGGATATTGTAGTACTAGCCGGAGACTTGAATGCTCAGGTCGGGCGTCTAGGCAAAGAAGAGAGTAGTTTAGGTGGCCGATGGGGACTTGTCGGTCGCAGGACAGATAACGGGGACCGTCTACTACAACTTTGCACAGACCACAACCTGTTTCTGGCTAGCACTAACTTCCGGCACAGTCATCGCTGATGTGCCACCTGGCGTCCTCCCTCTGCATCTCATGCCTGGACTCAGATTGATCACATCGTGATCAGCTACCGTTGGCGTGGTTGTGTACAAGACTGCCGCTCCTTTTGGAGTACCTATCTGGACTCTGATCATGCCTTTGTCTGCGCCAATCTTGCCTTACTTTTCAGTGGTCAATGAAGTGACCGCCATCAACGGATTGATATTAGCAAGCTGGTTGCAACTTCTGTTGCAAGTAAGTATCGAACCGAGCTAGCCTCTAGGCTAGCTACCACTCCACCGAAAAGTAAAGATAAGCATTGGTTGCAATTGCATGACGCCATGAAAACGACGGGTACAGTCAGCTGTGGGTTCGCGAAACGTCCCGCTTATAAGCACTGGGTTTCTTCAAGTTCCTTACAACTCATTGAAGCCCGTCGGTCTACTCCGGGTGACCGTGAGTTTGACCATAAACGAAGGATGTTACGTAAGGAAATTGGGCAAAGCTTGCGTAAGGTGGTCGAAGCGTGCTAATGAGCTGGAAGCAACAGCTGCATCTGGTTATTACCGGAAGCTCTTCCAACTCATCCGAGCCACTGGCAGCAAGAAGTTTGGTGTGAGCGAAACAATCTACGAGGATGATGAGACGCCAATCACTAACATCCATCGACGTCTTGGACGATGGACAGAATTTTTCGAAGGGCAGTTCAACTGGCCTGCTGCCCCGGCAACATCGGTCAGACTGTCCTGCCCTCCATGGCCGGTGACGACTGATCCACCAAATGAGGCGGAAGTCCGCAAGGAACTCCAACTCTTGAAGCGTTACAAATCACCTGGCCCATATGACTTACCTCCGGTTCTTTTTAAAGATGGTGGTGACTTTCTGACTAAGGAACTAACGATGTTGTTTACAAAGGTCTGGGAGCTCGAGAGTGTACCAACGTCATGGAATGAGTCGATAGTTGTCCCTATCTTTAAAAAGGGTTCACGTCGTTCCTGTAACAACTATCGTGGGAAAAGTCTACTTCCGATTGCGTCCAAGCTATTGGCTTCCGTCATACTTCGTAGGTTGTTCAAAACCCGAGAAAGATTGACTCGTGAGGAGCAGGCTGGGTTTCGTTCTGGTCGAGGATGTATTGACTATATCTTCACCGTCCGCCAAATGTTAGAACACCGTCATACTTATCAAAGGCTAACAATCGTAGTGTTTCTGGACATCAGGGCTGCCTTCGATTCGTTGAATAGGACTGTTCTCTGGGATTGTCTATTGAAGAAGGGTGTGCCTAAGAAGTTTATTAACATCCTAAAAGCCCTATATACAAACAACTCAGGCAGAGTGAGGGCATACAGCCACCTTTCCCCATTGTTCCATTCGAGCAGTGGGGTTAGGCAGGGTTGCCCAATCTCACCATTCCTCTTCAACTTTTCCATCGATTACATTCTGGAAACAGCTCTGATGAATGTAATTGATGGTGGTGTGGATCTGTTGCCTGGAGAAAGACTTATCGACCTTGAGTATGCGGATGATATTGTCTTACTGTGCGATAATGCCCAAGCCATGCAATCCGCGCTGAGTAAGTTGACAATCAGTGTCCGTAGGTATGGTATGTGCTTTGCACCTTCGAAGTGCAAAGTACTTCTACAAGACTGGCATGATTCCAATCCTGTTCTCACCCTGGATGGTGAGCAGATAGAAATAATCGAGAAGTTCGTGTATCTGGGTAGCTGCATAAGTGCTGGTGGGGGTGTGAGTGATGAGATCAATGCACGTATAGTGAAAGACAGAGCGGCTTATGCCAATCTGGACCACCTTTGGCGCCTTCGTGATGTTAGTCTAGCTGTAAAAGGTCGGATCTACAACGCGTCGGTGAGAGCAGTTTTGCCCTATGCTTGTGAAACCTGGTCTCTCCGAGTTGAGGACGTTAGACGACTCTCTGTGTTCGATCATCGCTGTCTCCGAAGGATTGCTGACATCCAGTGGCAACACCATCTTAGTAATGCAGGGGTCCGGCATCGTCTGTTCTGGCACAGCGACGATAGTTTAATTGGTGACACTATCTTGAAACATTGACTTCGGTAGCTTGAACATATCTTACGAATGTCGTCTCAGAGAGTTCCACGTCGTGCACTATTTGACGACGCTTGGACTGGCTGGAAAAAGCGGAGGTGGTCAATATATGACATGGTGTTGAGGTATGAAAGAAAGCTGCAAAGGGCTGGCTTCTGCTGGTCCTTCGCGACTCTCTGGTTGGGGTCCTAGAGACGGTGCAACACAGTGGCTAGATACGTTATCAGGCATGGCTCAGAATAGAAGCCAGTGGCGATCCTGCTGTAACCTTTTACTTTCTTCATTTAAAAATTGGTTGTTTCTTCCTTAACTGAAAGATTTCTTCTGATTGTACCTTCCCGTTTCCCCCATTATTACACTACCTTACACTAATCTGTTAGTTATTGTTCTTTTTTTCTCTTCGAATTCTCATTGTTTTGTGTGGCGTATTTATATTTGGTGCCCCCTTGTACCGATATTTATGTGTTCAAATAAATAATAATAATAACAGATGTGTTCATTCGACTCTAATCACCACGCCTATTGTACACAACCACAACCGGTCTAAAGCGTTGGCATACCATTGATCACAATAAAGAAACTTCATTGGTAGTTATTAATAATAAATAATCATAATACTTATACAAACTATCTTGAATGCGGGTAGCAGTTACAAGTGTCATGGGATACTTATTTTATTTTAGTAGAGTGGTCGATAAAACGTGTCTAGAAACCCTGATAAAATTATCATAACGTTGACATTATCAATAAGAGTAGTGATAAAAATGTTATAATTGATATGTTTAACACAAAACAGGTAAACTGAAATAGTGTGGAAAGAAAATTTTTCATTTGGTGGATAAGATAATTGGTATTAAGAACAAAGAATGACTTATCACAAAAAAAGTTCTTCATAGATAAGTGACATATTTACCAGTAAGAACTAAGTCTAATTTAACTAAATTAATCCAAAACATACGTTGAGTAAATTAATGTCATTTTGACTATCATTTTACTTCAAGTTAGTGAACAGGAATTAGTAAGCCTAATTAATATCTCATATGCGAAATACATCAACTTACAAGATATTTTTGGTTGCTTTAGCAAAGTATCACAGTTAATAACCTTACTGTTAAGCTATTCCCACTACAATTAGGATTAATATAAGAATAAGTAAATCATGTACATGCTGAATTCATTTAAGTTGAACTTCATCCGGGTATTCGATCGGTTAAAATTTCATTTCCCTAAATCAAATATTTTTCAAAAACATTAAGTCATTTTATATTTTGCAAAGTACTGATATTCATCTGGTAAATATGACCTGTATAATAAAGTTATTACTGAATAATAATCTCCCACTCTAGTGTCAGTTAAAAACCACGTTGATACATTATCAAGTGTAGGTCAAAAAGCTTCTGAATTTTCTACGAATTCGAAAGGCAGTTTAAACATTTGTAATTCAAATCACTTCAGTGTTTTGTGTTAATTCATGTATTTTTTAACTATTAGAGCGTAGAGAGTATACACGTTAAGTAAAATTGAACATTCGCTAAACACAAGAAAATGATCGTGTAACCATCGGTAATTGGAAATTTACGAAATTCATTTAAGAAAACTAACCTGCTATTTCCACCACCAATAGCGAATCCGACCAGAAGTCGTAATATTATGACCCAAATATAAGTGGGGGCACAACTTGTGATGATGCCGAAGTAAGTTATCATTGATAAAACAATCAATAAAGTCTGTTAAAGAAAATAAAGTTCTTAGTTATATAAATTATTATGACCGATACTAGTTATGCAAATCGAAGTAGTAGAGTAACATTGAACACAAGAATGGAAGCGATGCAAAGAAACACCAACCAAACTCTTACTAAGCCCCCATAGACTTTTCGACTAGCACTCAATTAGTGAGAATACAATAGAAAGTAAAATGATTATTCTACGTTCCAGCTGCACGGAAAAATGCGTGGGTATTCACAGGATTCTTTGATATACTTGGTGATCAGCCGTTAAGAATGGAAGTTTCGTGGACCATGAATCAACGGTACGGGTGTGATTTATAAAAAAATAATGTTTTGACTGAGTTATGTCAACTTTCTAGAGAATAATGCATTATTCAACATAAGTAGAATCAACAGATGAACGGTGATGCTCTAAAATTTACATGAAGGAGAACGATTTTGAATAGGGAACGATGGCCCTTAAGCTAGGTCTTTTTAAATATAAGACGAGATATATCGAACAACAGTTCAGAGTTAGGAAGTTCCATAGTACTACATAGTAGTGCTGCTATTTTGCTACAACTATGTGCCCTTGAATACAAAACTGAAAAATTTGACTACCAGCGACTAGTTTCCCGTGGTTTTAGCATTAATTTAAACAACAAACCCAATTCTTGAACAAATAACTTCTCAAAAACTACCGACTTTAGGATACTTTCTTAATAAAAGTATAATATCAAGCATTAAAGCGTACGAATAGAGAATACTAATAACGAATGAAAACAACAGGTTCATATAATACTAAGACTAATGTCAGTCATTCATATAATTAAATATTATTTTTATGTCTGAAATAAGACAGGTACACTGAATCATTAAATTGATACACACTGAGTGTCGATACATAAACACAATTAATACTTATAATATTCGATTGATAGGTTGCTTTTCTAAATATGTACTGATAAAAATCACAAAACTTCAACAAGAGGATGGAAACATATCCTAAGCGTGAAGATTCCCACAACTAATATACTGAGTTTCCGTCAAAATAATAATTGCAATAATAATAATAATAATAATAAACAATAATAATAATAATAATGGATTTATGAAAAAACTGATAACAGATTCAACTATCTGAATATTAAGTTGCGAATTTAAATAATTTCTATATCCTGAAAGCTTACCGGCCAACGACCAAATCTATCTGCGATAAAACCCCATAAAGGAGCTCCAAATAAAAACCCGGCAAAAACAACCTACAACATATCAAAGACCAAAGCAATTAAACTTCAACGAAATCACGGTCAGTGGTTTATTACACCCAACTGTCCCAGTTTCTTTTATTATATGGAAGGTAGTCTAATCATTGAACACAAAAATATACAAAACTTAGATTCAAAAAAGTACCTGGCATTCTTCCGAAACTTAGCACATTGAAAATCCGTAATTTTGGTTAACATTTATGGGCTGTGATTCTAACCGTACGAATATGACATACATGGGCAACTAGAAATCAACATAAAGGTTCGCCAGGCTAATTGTAGATATAATGTTGTTACAGTAATTTGATGAGAGATAAGTGGGACCAGCTGAGACAAATTTAACCGAAAAAGAGATTAGTTATGGAAAAATAAGACCGCCTAAAGAGTAACACTGGATATCCGAATTAAATTGTACCAAATAATAAAAAACGACAACTGGCTCGTAACCTCACAACGGATCTAGTTAATAAATGATATCACTGTCTGAACCACTTTAAAAGGATTAGGATAAATAATTATAAAGCAAGCTACAGCGCACGGCCTTTTAAGGGAGGTTTTTGACGTGTTAGCTCCGTTCTTCAAAGGGCCTTACCACCGAAGACGGGAATCCGTGAGGTAAGGTGGGGTGTGACATTTTTAGGGTTGACCTTTTCTAGCCCCTTCCTTCCTTGTGAGAAGGCGGCATCGCTGCAGATGCTGGTTGTTAGAGGGAAACACCTTACTGCTGTCACACCCTTCTACAGTCAGCAGTGCGACTTCGTCTTCAGATATTGAGTTGCTGCTTTTAGTCTTACCGTTCTCCAATCGACCTGCCTGGTGTGGTAGAATCTACAGGAACATATGTTTCAACCAATATAGCTCGGTTAGGTCAACACGATAGGCCAGCCCGACCACCACGTCAAGGTAGCAGCTACGATCGGGGATCAACTCAACAACTTGCAGATTGAAGATCAAGTCAAATTTCTCATCTCGTGTCTGAATAGTGAATTTATTTTAACTCCATTTATAATTGTACTGTCGAAGCTCAAGAACTAGAGAGACATTCTAGTTGATAACGTTCACAGACTGAACGGTGAATACGCTATCCTGTGGTCACAAAATCCAGAGGTTGAAGCCAATCTGCCTCTAATATGTAAATTCACTGTTATTTCAATATGATTGACTGTGCATAGCTGTTTTTTAATTTCTCCACGTAAGGGAAGGAAACAAAATCCGCTACTGATTATTTTTCTTGGATGTTTGAATGGATTACTCGTGGGAAAATTTTGAATTCACACTTAGTCAAGTGCACTTTGTTTGCATCAAAATTCTTCTTATCTGTTGTAAATACATCTTAAATTGATTTTAGGCGTCTTAAAACTACGAATTCAGTTTCTACTTGAATAAGTTAGCAATCAGATGTCATTCACTGTTTTAATCTCGGTAAATAAATCGCTAGCAAACAGCACTAGAGAAGTGAATACTGATATGTGCGGATGTGTATTACTCATAAATAAACTGTATAAATATATATAAACTTAATGATCGACACCAATTTAAGTACGATTCATCTGTTCATTATTATTAAGCTGAAGTTATCTGAAAAATAATCGCAAAAATATCCAGACTCTTGATATATCAACTGTCAGAACGATTTCCATTTTAACACATAAAAAATTCCTTACTCTCTCGCTGGTTTTAAATAACAAGTTTTGCATACTCACTTTGATTATAAGAAGGATCACCAGAAGTTTTTAATCAAAAGAACTGAGGCCGCTTATTGACCTGACGTAAGATACTGCTTTTGACTCACACATCCATCATTGCTAAAGTTTATTTTCTAGTAATAAGTAAATGGAATGTGCAGTAAAAAAGGCTGTTTAACCATTGTTTTCCTATTAGCTATCTTATCACTTAATGGTACGACTGTTGAGGAATTCGCTGTTAGGCAAACTGTATTCTTGGAAGGAAGTTGCTACGAGCAAGAACTTACACGAATCTTACAATTTGAAAACACTCGCTTCCGTCAGTAGGAATAAGACATCCCGGTATTTTTATTTTCTATCCCATTGATTCAGAATCAGTAAATGTTAGTTCTTAGCTAAAAACAGATGTTCAGCAATACTGAAGAAGCGATCATAAGACAAAACCGTAGTTGGTTTGGTTTCCTCTTGAAGTCCACCAACGTACAGAGGACTTTAAAAAGCGAATAAGCTTGTAACTTTTCTGAAATTCTTAAAGAGGTAACTCGTACTTACTGTGGTTATGGCAGCGACTTGTCCTGACGACAGAAGCCAATAACATCGTAATGCTGGACCAAGTACTGAAAGTAGTAGCATTTCCATCGCATCTGCAGCCTACAGGTAGAAGTTTGATACGTTTAATAAGGTTTGTTATCTTAATTAGCAGAATGAACAATAAAGTCAAGTAGACTATAAACCCTAATTATTCATTGGTGTCAAGCTATTTAGCATTTAGGGAGAAGGGGCACTGTACTTAATTTGTTCTAGCAAAGTGATAACAGTAACTGGAGATTTCAAAGTTAATTTTACAGATATTTTTATCGGTTCGAAATGTTGAGGCGCCATGATAAATTTTTTTTGAACTTATGGCAAAATGCTACCATGATGGTACATAATGTGATTTTCTCAATACGATACAAAAATGAAAAGGTTTATGCAACTAATCAGAAAACGGGTAAACAGAAATTAAAAGAATCTTGCACAATTGTGACCTACAGGTTACCGAAACACAAAGAGTCTAAAAAGATGTTTATACAACTTAGTGGTTTAAGGGCTTGACTCGTTCGTAGTTTGAATGCGCATACATTTGAGACCACGAAAAACAAAGAACCGAGTTTGCGTTTTCCTAAATTTTGAACTTTTCTGGAACTCCCACTGATGTTGGACCGACAAACTTCAAGTTTGATGACAAAAGGTATGCTTTCCATGTACAACTTTTACCTGTCTTCGTTTCTTTGGCAACTTACTAACTATTCTGATTAAGATCAAAAACTGTCTTCAACGATATACAAAAACAGGGTATGCTATGGTTGAAAATTCACGTTAAACGGTTCGTTATGAATGATAAGCTCATTTTTACTTGAAATCCGATATTCCTTATTTTGATTTCTTAAGTGCTATATTTATAAGCATGGAAGTATATTTCAAAATGAAACGAAAAATACATTTTCCTGGAAATTTCTTTCTTTAGAAAGGTAATATCATAGATTTATGTCACAATTATTTTCTTATACACCGAAATAACTATGCGGGGTAAATACAATGAACTTTAATGCTAGACACAACGAAGACGCTTACCGATATGGCTCCACATAAAATGAAAAGCTTCAACTGAAACCTTCCAAAACCAGCTGCCTCCACAGCATCTTCAACTGTATATGTAAGGTTTGGTTTATTTTCTGCATCTAACCCGTTTTCACTGGAATCAGATTTATTCAGATCTTCTGAATCTAGTCGCGTAGATCCAACTATTTCATTTGGATTCAGTTTGTTTTCAGATTTGTCAGGAAAGAGGGACTGATATACAGGAGGTGAAGAGGGATTATCCTAAGAGGGTTTATATAATTACAACTCCAGCAACAAACCATTATCTATTAACTTGAATCACGATAAAAGTTGTGGGTTTTTTGTTTGGGAGTTAGGTCCACTGCTTGATCATATTTACAATTTCAGAAGTATATCTGAAGCAACAAAAATAAAGCACTCATTTTTAAAATAACGAGGTGGAAGTTCCGTCAAGATTAATAGTAATAGAGCTAATTTCAACTACGTGAAAACCACCACTATAAAAAACATAAATTCAATAAACATAGGTAAACATTGAGTCCAGAAATTGTGAGTACTATGGAACACAGGACAGCAGATAGATAAGACTGTATTAATGAATGATATTAACTCGTCTTGATGTTCAAGATAAGAGGTTGGTATCAATTGAGTCATCAATATACATATCCTTCGGAAAACATTTAATGCTCGGATTATTGTTAAGTTAAGCCGGAAAAATGTTTAGTACTAGCTATTCCAGATTTTCCGATGGCCAAGCCGACCAACCCGTGAAAAAACCCAACCACAACCACTGTCTTGTTGTTGTTGTGTTGCAAGGTGACATGCAGAACAGCACTGCATAATTAATCTTAATGTGTGTACTCAAGTCTAGAACATTTTATGCTGAGATAACGTGGGGGCACTGGTGACGTCACGTTTAGATCATACATCGCTGTTTCTGCAACGCATTGACAAGGTTATGTGTCATCAATTTCTTAGTATACGAGATATGACACTCTTATGGTTAAAAACTACCATAAGATGGAGTCGGAAGCATCTTTCCCTTAGCAAACTGCCGATTATCATGAATAAGAAACTCTAGGAAACAAGAAGAAAATTTGAAGAACGTTATACTTTTAGCCTACTAATAGGGAAAGAACTGAACGACTCGTCTCTTCCACCTCATAAGGAGACTTACGATGTCAGTACGAAAAAGAGCCAACAATTTGGTTGGACGGCCTTACCTCTTCCCGCCTTTATGCTATGCTCCAATGTAATTTGATAGTGCTGTAGCGGTAAATAAATCCCCAAAATAAATAGCTCTGTAAGTTTTCGACATTGGATGCTGACCATATGTTTTAGTGGACTCATCTAGCTGAAGGCGCTCGGTCAGGCATCCGCACCAGATCACATGTGGCAACGCCGTACTCAACATCAACCGCAATCGCTAGCCAGATTAGATTAGAGAATTTCGATATATTGGTTATCGCCAAATATACTCTTCCGATCTCCTCGACTCTGTCTTTTGATTTCTCTAGGTGGGAACGAAATATATTAGGTGTTACTGGTAGAAGCGTTGTCAAACACTGAATACCTGTGACATCATCATTGGTGAGACCGACGTGATCTGGTACACCTAATTGCAACTGTGAGTCTGTTCCTTTTTGTGATTTTTACATATCATCGCCTTATTTTTTTATTTTTTTTAAACATTGTGAATTTTTCGTGTTTCTTCTTGGATATATATATATTTTCCCCTCGTTCATTAACATACTTCATCATGACTGAACAGACACTTAAAGTACTCAAGCTTAAGACTTTGTCCCCGCCTTCGTTTCAACTGATGCCTTTCTGGCCCGACAACATCGTAGCCTGGTTCTGCTACGCAGAAGCCGACTTCCACGAGCACGGCGTGATCGACACACGTGCACAATTCCTCGCAGTAGTCAAGGCACTACCGCGCGAGTTCAACAGGTACGTAACACCTAGTATGTTTACTAGTGATGTTTCCGATCCTTACGAAATCTTAAAACGCCCGATTCTTAAACGAGGAGACCTAACCGATCGACAAAGGTTAGATCAACTCTTCAACAATATCGACCTGCAACACGGTTCTGCGACAGACATGTTGCAAACAACTCTTCTTATCAAAACTTCCCCAACAGGTGCAAGCAGTTCTGGTCTCGTTTCAGAACAACGCCTTAGACGAGCTAGCTGCATCTGCCGACCGCATTTTAGAAATTACGAAACCTTCTACTACCGAGGTATTTTCAGTCAAAGAAAAACCTCAAACGACTCAGAATGATATAACCGAGTTATGTCACACACTCACGCGTTATCTTAGTCTTCGTACCGACCGTAAGAAATCGCGCACCCCACGTAGAAGCATTTCACGTAAGCGATCTGTCTCTAGACCACGAGAGACAGATAACCCCGACTGGTGTTGGTATAATAACCAGTATGGAAAGTTTTCCAGAAATTGCAGAAAACCCTGCAATTTTCACAACACGAAACCGAGTGACTCGAAAAACAACTCGGGAAACTTCCAAGTCGGCACGCGTTAACGGCAACCGTAGCCGGCGAACATAGCCGTCTGTTATTTGTCACTGATGTAACAACGAGGGTTCGCTACCTCGTCGACACTGGCGCAGAAGTTAGCGTTCTCCCAGCAAATCCTAACGACCGACTTCACGAATCGACCCTAAACTTACAGGCGGCAAACGGAAAACCGATCGCTACGTATGGCAAGAGGTACGTTTACCTTAACGTGGGTTTACGGAAACCCATTCACTGGATCTTCGTTGTTGCAGATGTTTCTATGCCAATCATTGGTATGGACCTTCTACAACACCACAATCTGATCATCGACACTGGCAAACGGAGGCTAGTAGACGAAAACACTAATTTTTCCGTTTGCGTAACTTCTTTTACTGGTTGCAGAGTATCCCCAGTCACAGTTAAGCATATGATAGACCCACTCTATCAACCACTACTCGATAAGTACCCTGGGATACAACAAACTCAACCGAAACTACCGTGTGTAACCAGCAATGTTACGCATCACGACTACAGGACCACCTGTATTCTCTATAGCACGACAACTAGCTCCCGAAAAGCTAAGGTTAGCGAAAAACGAATTCGACCATATGATAGACTTAGGAATCATACGACCGTCAAATAGCCCATATGCATCTCCGTTGCACGTGGTCTCTAAAAAGGACAGCAACGATTGGCATCAAACTGGTGACTATCGGCGATTGAACGCGAAAACCAATCCCGATCGTTACCCGTTGCCTCACATTCACGATTTGACAGCTACCTTGAAAGGTACAACTGTCTTTTCGAAAATCGACTTGGTTAAAGCGTATAACCAAATCCGTATGGCTACTGACGACATACCGAAAACAGCTATCATAACTCCCTTCGGACTCTATGAATTTTCGCGAATGCCTTTCGGTCTAAGGAATGCTGCTCAAGCATTCCAAAGATTCATAGACGACGTTTTTCGAGGTCTCAACTTCGTACATGCGTATGTTGATGACCGTTTGATAGCAAGTCCGGACAGAGAATCACATCTCAAGCATCTGGATCTTGTTTTCGAACGACTACAAAAATATGGCATTACTGTAAACATTCAGAAATGCTAGCTCGGAATTTACTCATTAGACTTCCTAGAACACACTATAGATGCGCAAGGCATTCGACCCCTTAGAACCAAAGCGGCAGCCATTCTGGATTACCCAGAACCGACCACCGTCAAGCAATTACGAACGTTTAACGGCCTGGTAAGTTTCTATAGACGATTCATGCCGAAGTGCGCATTACTTATGAAACCTCTGACCGATCAACTTCGTGGAAATGCGAAATCCATTAATTTGGACGACACCGCACGAAAATCATTCTCCACAGTTAAGGAACTGATCGCTAAAGCAACAATGCTCGCACATCAGGACACCGAATCACCCATTAGTATCGCAATAGACGCATCTGACTCGGCAATCGGAGGAGTCCTACAACAATGGATTAGCAACTCCTGGCAACCCTTAGCATTTTTCTCTAGAAGGTTGCTAGACACCGAATCGAGGTACAGCACATTCGGTAGGGAACTCCTAGCTATGTATTGTACTGTACGGCATTTTCAACACTACATCGAAGGTCGTGAACTCACCCTTTTTACTGGCCATAATCCTCTTTCTTTCTCTTTAAGTTCCTCTTCAGAAAAGTACTCACCTCGTGAGTCTCAACAACTGGACTACATTTCGCAGTTTGCTTCAGACATCCAACATATTTCTGGAGCAAACAATGTAGTCGCAGACGTCTCGAATAACTTCCTTGAACAGTTTCCAAGGAATCGACCTTCTGAAACTCTTTCAGCTTCAAAAAGAAGACACTGATCTTCAGCACAAGTTATCGTCTACAACTCTCAAGTTACGCATCAAACAGATGGGAACAGGTAAGGAAACCTTACTTCGTCGCACATCTACAAGTAGGGATCGCCCAATCGTGCCGAAACATTATCGACACGACGTCTTCAATACGTCGCACAGACTTTCTCATCCAGGTGTTTGTGCAACCATCAAGCTTATAGCAGAACGGTTTTGCTGGCCTGGCATGAATAAAGACGTGAGGGAGTGGGCACGCTCCTGTGTAAGCTGCCGAAAATCTAAGGTTATCAAACACAATAAATGTCCCCTAGGCTCGTTTAAAACTCCCGATGCTTGTTTCGACCATGTTCATCTGGATTTGGTAGGACCTTTACCAGATTCAAATGGATACTCTTATCTTTTAACCTGCGTAGACCATTTCACTCGATGGCCAGAAGCAGTACCTATCAAGGACATCACTGCTGAAACAGTAGCTCGCGCCTTCGTCGAGCGATGGGTAGCAAACTTCGGCTGCCCTTCAATCATCACTACAGATCGCGGACGTCAGTTTGAATCTGATATTTTCCGTCGTCTGACCACACTTTTAGGAATCACTCGATTCCGAACGACCGCCTACCATCCACAAGCAAACGCGTTGATAGAACGTTTACACCGACAACTAAAAGCTTCACTATCAGCTGCAAACATTTCACAGTGGACCGACACTCTTCCACTCGTCTTACTAGGTATCCGCAATGCAGTGAAAGCTGACATTGGATACACTGCGGCTCAACTCGTTTATGGAACGACACTTCGACTTCCAGGAGAATTCGTGGGTCCTTCATCCTCTTCAATGAACATGGATCTAACCTCCTACACGAACAGGCTTACAAACGCGATGCGTTCAGTTAAACCTGCTTCCACTCGACCTCAATCAACTGATGTTTTCGTTCAACCTGACTTACGATATAGTACACACGTTTTCGTTCGTCGAGACTCGCATCGACGACCATTCGAATCAGCATACGAAGGACCCTTCAAAGTTCTTCAACGTGAATCTAAGTACTATATAGTCGATAAGAACGGAACCAACGATAGCATCAGTATCGATCGCTTAAAAGCAGCGTATTTAGAAAGAAATCCTATCCACGTCTATTTTCCTTCGGTACAATCGAACGATATGACTCCACTCATAATTCCTCAACCGACAACCAAAACTAGCGAAGATACTTCGAATGTATCTGAAAATATACCTAAAACTACGCGTTCTGGAAGAAGATTAAGATTTCCAGAACATTTAAACGACTACTGCACGTAAGGCACTACTCGACATTTTATATTATCTCGATCTTTCTTTTTAACGATATATAATTTTTTTTTTCAAAAGGCAATTTCATTATGCCTATATATTTATATTTTTATTTTAAAAACAAAACAAAACATAAAAAACATTTTTTTAACGCTATTACGTGTGCTTGAGTATATTTTCAATTTTTTCGCCGACATTGTGTTTTTCGGCACATACGAGTGTATTTCGACATGCACTTACACTTTCTTTTCCAGGACGACTGGAAAAGAACGATGCAGTTTACAAGGAGTCGAAATTTTCGTTGTAACTTTCTTTTTTTACTATGTTGTACCTCGGTCCCATATAGTAAGGAAAGACGACCAGACGCTGCTACACTTAGTAAGCTATCAGAAGAGTGTATACCAACCACAAACTCGTTAGGTTTAAACTTCTGGCTGGCCACGTCTTAGGGTTGTCACTGCCCCACTAGGAGGGTGAGTGATCTGTAGCGGTAAACAAATCCCCAAAATAAATAGCTCTGTAAGTTTTCGACATTGGATGCTGACCATATGTTTTAGTGGACTCATCTAGCTGAAGGCGCTCGGTCAGGCATCCGCACCAGATCACGTGTGGCAACGCCGTACTCAACATCAACCGCAATCGCTAGCCAGATTAGATTAGAGAATTTCGATATATTGGTTATCGCCAAATATACTCTTCCGATCTTCTCGACTCTGTCTTTTGATTTCTCTAGGTGGGAACGAAATATATTAGGTGTTACTGGTAGAAGCGTTGTCAAACACTGAATACCTGTGACATCATCAGTGCTTACAAATGATTCAAAATGGTTGTGGACGGAATAGAAGAAGCTTTTGCTTAACAGGCTTCCGTGTCTAGTAGCAGGGGAACACGAATACCTTCCAATTTCGAATTAAAAACCCAATATATTTGAAACGAGCTAGTAAATTGAAGTCGACTTATCATAACTAACTAGCTTTTTAAAACTGTTCCAAACGTCTTGAATCGTCCATTTTGGTTATTCTAGACAAGCTACTACCCTATTCTTAGACAGAGGTTAATTTTCTTTCAAGATGGTTAGTGAAGATTTCACATGGCAATGAGTTTAGTAGGTACTGTATCACACAAGCCCAGAAATACTTTGGTTGATCGTATCAAATCATGAAAGCCGAAAATAAATCATTTATAAAGATGGAAGACGGACCAGAGAAATGATTTACAGATGCCGCAGATATTCATGATATAAAGGAGAGTTTGTCTGTAACACAAATATAATCAAAGTATACCAACCCAGTCAAATCATAAATCGAAGATGAATTGGTTTGAACGCATATTAAGAATGTTTTTAACGTGTTGAGAAATGTGCAGCGGTAAATCAATTCCAAAAATTAATACTCCTGTACGTTTTCACAGGAAATCAGTAGTTGAAGACAATCATTCAAGCACCCATACCAGATGACGAGTAGATATGCCGTGCTACACATCCCTCCCAACTGTTAGTCAGCCTAGACCTAACACTTCTCAACATATCGATATCCTTCCAAATACATCTTCGAACCCTAACATTCCTTACTTTTGAGTTGCCTGAGTTGGTATACTTCGAATATAAACGTGTTATGTGTAAAGACGTTTTCAAACTCCGAATGTCTGTGGCATTCTTAGTGGTGAACCTGATGTGATCAAATACACCAAACAATGAACTGTGAGTCTGTTCCTTGGTGGGACACTGAATGTCGTTTCTTAAAATTTATTTTTACATATGGTGATATTCAGCTGGTATTGTTGATTTGAATCTTCCAATTGATGAGAGGTACTGAGTTCGAGCCTCGGAGTGGACGTCAGCTCGGAGATGCAGGTACATCCAGCTGACGGGCCTCAAGTAAGACGAAACGCAAATCCTGGATTTCACTGCCAGCCACCATCCAACTTTGCTTATAATGTAGTGATATTGTTTTAATATTTTCGGATAATTTTCCCGTCCATTTGTATATTTTATCCTCAGTATGCCGGGACAGACATTTAAGCTGACTTCCACAAGAATAGCACGAGAGACCCAAGTGCGCAATTCCTCGCAGTAGTGAAGGCACTACCTCGAGATTTAAACAGGTACGTCACACTCAGTATGTCTGCTAGTAATGTTTCGTAAGCTTACGACACTTTAAAGAAGGATGTTCACAATTTGAAGGCCTGATCAACCGACAAAGGTCAGACCAACTGTTCCACAACAGGGCTCAGAAACGGAAATATTGCCGCAAACGCGAATGGTCGCCAGCCAAAGAACCTTTGACGATAGCCTGTTTGGACATTTCTTCTTCTCTTAGCTTCCCCAACAGGTGCAGGTGGTCCTCGTTTCATTTCAACGTAACGCCGTATACGAACTGGCTGCATCTGCCGATTGGATTCTGGAGAATACCAGAACTTCCAGAGTCGAGGTTTATTCTATCGAATAAAAGTTCCAACACGAAAAGGTGTCACAGACCTCTGCTATACTCTCAATCGTCACCTTAATATTCGTCTCGGTCGTAGACGCTCAAAAAAGCACGTCACGAAATAGATCTGTCTTAAGACCACAAGGAACAGGTAATCGTGATTATTGCTGGTACAACAAGTATGGTAGCTCTTCTAGAAATTATAGGAAACTCTTCAGTTTTTCCGGTTTCGAAAAATCCGACACTAAAAACCTCTCTTTATTTCCTAGTCGGCACGTGTTAGTGGTATCCGTAGCCGGCGGATTCAGCTGTTTGTTGTGTAGCACAGGTATAATGACTACAGTTCACTGTCTCGTGGGCGCTGGCGCAGAATCAAGCGTTCTCTCCGCAAATTCTAACGACCGTATACTTAAGTGGGTCTTCAACGTACAGGCGACACTTGATAAACCGATTGACACACAAGGTAAGCGATTTATGTATCTTAACATATGTTTACGCAAACCCGTTCCCTGAATCTTCTTTGTTGCAGATTTTTCTAAGCCAATCATTGGTATAGACCTGCTACAACGCTATAATATGCTGATCGACACGCGCAAACATTGCTTTGTAAGTGGCGACACTAGGGTGACCATTTTTGTGCCTTCCTTTTTGGTTGTTAATCATCCCCACTAACTGTTAGGCACATAATCGACCCATCATATCAACAGATGCTCGATAGATACTCTGATCTGTACTAAACTTGAATAAAATCAACATGTGTAATCAACAGTGTTACACATCATATCACGTCTACAGGATCAACTGTATTCACGAAAGTGAGTCGACTAACTCCTGAAAAGATGAGATTGGACAAAAACGGATTCGACAGCATGATAGACTTGGGAATCATTCGGCCACCGAACAATTCACTGGTACTGCCTTCAGTTAGTCAGTTACAACGTAGGACCTCATTTGCTTATCAAGACGGAGATTGGATTCACAAGAGTAGTTAACTTCAGATATACAACACACTTCTGGGACAAACAATGTAATGGAAGAAGCCTTGTTTCGTATAACGTTCTTAAACACTTTCCGAGGAATCGGCCTTCCTAAGTTTGTACATTTTCAAACAGAAGACACTGATATCCAGCACAATTTATCTTAGATAACCCTGAAGCTACGTACCAAGCAGATAGAAACGGGTAAGGAAACCTTACTGTGTGATATGTCTGCAGTTTGAGATCATCCAATCGTGTCGAAATATTATCGACGCAATGTCTTCAATACGTGTCACAAGCCTTCTTGTCCAGGTGTTCATGCAACCTAGTTTTAACAAGGACGTGAGGGATTGGACTCGTCGCATGAAATCTAAGATGATTAGACATAAAAAATGTTTTTTGTGTTGTGTTAGAACTCTCGTCACTCGTTTTGGTCATGTTTATCTTGATTGGTCAGGACCCTTGCCGGATATAAGTGGATACTCCTACCTCATAATGTGTTAGGACAGTACCACATGGTGGCCAGAAGTAGTACCCATCAATGACATTACTACTGAAAGAGTTGCCTGAGCCTTCTCTCAGTGATGATTAGCAAACATCGGCTGCCGTTCAACTAATACTATAGACCTGAACATTTTCTTTATCGGACTGCACTACTAGGAATCACAAAACTCTGAGTGACCGCCTACCAACCACAAGCAAACGGGTTGACAGAACGATTTCACCAACAGCTAAAAGCCTTACTCTCAGCTGAAAATGTTTTACAATGGGCTGATGCACTTCCACTCGTTTTGCTTAGTACTCAAAAGGCAGTGAAAGCTGACGTTGGATACACTGGAGCATAACTCGTCTACGGAACTACACTTTGAGAGGCTTTGTGGATTCTTCATTTTCTTTGGTGATTATGGATGTAATCTCTCACACGATCAGGCTTACAAACTCCATGGGTCCAGTTAAGCCTGTTTCCACTTAAGCCCAATCAACTAACGTTCTCATTCGAGCTGCCTTACGACATAGTACATGGGTTTTTGTACGTCACGATTCATTACGACGATCCCTGTGAATGAAAAACGAAAGACCCTTCAAATTTCAGCATCGTAAACCTAAACACTAAATCACAGATATGGACGGTACTAACGATAACGTCATCACTGATCATGTTAAGGTCTAGTGTATAAAAGGAGGCATTAATATCGATGATTTCCATCCAATACACTCTGACGACACAAGTCTGACAATCACTTATAAAGAGACTTCGCTTGTATCTAAAAATCGGCGCAAGAAATGCTTTCTGGAAGAAGAGTAAGTTTTCCAGAACACTCAAACGATTACTGCACGTACGACACTACATAAGATTTTGTTTGATATCTATTTTTCTATTATTTTTGTGTCAGAAAATACGTTGTTTACATTAGGCATAATTAGTGATCGTTGGTACTACGACATATATCATAGTACAGATCCCCAACTCCCATTCGTCTTCAGTGACAAGCACTGTTCAAGAACCCTTTCCTAAATACGAGTTGTTCTGTACTCTTTAAAAGTATTTATTTGCCAGAAGACTCCAGGCAGCAGTATTGGATCCATAAGTTCACACAAATTTTGAAAAATTGAAATTCAGATATGTAGATCTCCGAAAGTTTGTATACGGTACAATATCTGACTTTTCTGAAGGATAAATGGCACCATCAACTACAGCATGTTGAACTAAACAATTTTACGGAGTTCGGTGTCCAACGTTTTTAAGTGTATAATAAAGCGATTTATTTAAGCTATTTCAATTTTTAGTTCAAATAATAAATGCCTCCATAATATTTATTATGTCCAATCAAAACAATGAAGTGGTTATCTGATATATCAGAATCACTTACTTTAAGGTTTGTTTGTATTTACCAATGTTTCATTTCGTTTTATGGCAAAATCTTGAATATTATTTTTCGGTATGTATTAGCGCTGTTATTATCTGCATCATTATCGTCCACTGAAAAATCTCGCAAATGGGTGAAAATTTACATAAAAAGTCTGACTTAGAAGTTGAAAATGAGAATGTCGTCGTTGACTCAGTACTGATGCATAAAGCTACACCAGAATATCTTCAAGAACTACTAAAAGACAAAAGGCAGCTGCAGAATTTCCCAAACATATTTTTACACTTAGAATTCATTTTGGAGAAAGGTAAATACTTCGTTAATATATTTCATATGTTTAGCTTGAAGTTATCAGATTGTATCTTGTTTTAGGTGGTGCAGAGGTAATGTCAGACCTAACAGACTTTCAGTATAGATTATAAAGCCGTATCTGCATCCTAACATTTATGAATTTATATTTCTTTCCAGTCCCTTTGTATATGAATCGCTCATTCAACTGGCCTTATCTTCACACTTTGTTAATAAAACCACATGTTTCTTTAGCTTGACGTTAATATTTAGTGAATTGTACTAATTTTGTTAAAATATTAAAATTGACATGTGAAATGTGTTGCTCAAATCAACAATAATACATCATTTGTGCTTCTAATTGGGATCTAATATGGTCTTTAACGTTACGTTGTGTATGTCTAAACTTTTGATCAGTACCATTTGTTTAAGACTATTGAAATACTAATCTAAAACCAAGCTTGATTTATGATAATGCACTTATTCTAATACATTTTGAGAGTATTACAGTAACATAATTATTATAGTTTTGATTTCCTTCAATCGGTAGTGAGGGTTATCTCACCATAATAAAAGTTTATTTGAGTGTTTATCCGATACCTTCGTACATTATAAATTGTTTGATGTCACTCAAGATTATCGTTGTGTATTTTGCCATTGCAGAAATTACTCGCGTAAGGCAAAAGCTATTTCATTTAAACGAATCAGTAAAGAAAACTGAAAACGAGCTTCCAGTACCCTCCGGAAATATTGTGTCATTACAAGAGAAGGTGTTTGTTCCTGTGAAGGAAAACCCTAATGTTGGTTAACTTCATTTACTTAAATAATCCTAATATTTTAGTATAACTTTGTTGGACGCCTTCTCGGTCCGAGAGGATTGACTGCGAAACAGCTTGAACAAGATTTGGAGTGTAAAATCATGGTGAGAGGTAAAGGATCACTTAGAGACAAAAGAAAGGTAAAACGTGACGAATTAAAAATAATATATCAAAATTTCGTTGTCACTTACACATCGCATAGTATAAATTATACATGCCTGATAACGTTTTATTCTTAATACTATGAACGTTTTGCCATGTTGATCAGAATTTCGTCTTCTGGTAAAATGGATGGTTTTATATCCTACGGATATATTTTTTAACATGTTGCTGAAGTAGATCATTTTTAAATGGTTCTATAAGATGCCAGTAATAAACTGAGTTTTCATAGATGGATAAATAATATTTTGATATTTCAATCTGACATATTTCTATCGTTTGTACATACGTATACATAGTAAAACTACTAGTGCTTTTGTGTACGTAAACTAATGTTATCACATTCGAAAAGATTTTTTCTGGAAGGGATATTACCGGCACCCAGTGATCAATTCATAGTAAAACTTAAGGAAGATGCCATAGATTGATGAAGTACAAATAATAGCCACTTAGTTAAGCGAACAGAAATCGGATAGACAAATTTACTTCTTTTTGCAAGCGACGTTGTAATGTTTTGAAGATTGAGATCAGTTATCCGTGGTTGAAATCGCAAACGTTGAAAAACTTATCTGTAGATTTGTTTTTTAGTCTTAACTGACGGGAACGTGTCAAATAAATATTAACAATAACAAACTAACTCCAATATTCCTATTCACTAGCTGTTTTATAGATCAGTTACATTCTTGATTAAAGTTAATTCTTTCTGACAGTTCATCAACCACGTGCTATGGTAGTTTAAAACATAAACCATGTGTACAGCTGTAGATCTCTGGGGAAATAAAGATATCTCATGACGGACTGAAATTTCCTAACGGAATTAGAGTGCCATAACGAGGAGTTATTTTACGTGTTTGATTATATAGTACACCTTCAGTTTTTTTGTGTTGCTATGTCACCCTATAAAGTAGACCATAACAGAATTCTAAACATCTTGTATCAGAATTATTTGTTATGTTTGATGTATTTTTAACGTTTGTTCAATTACCTATGTACATATTTCCAACCACCACTTCATTAGTGTGATCTCTTTGAAAAAAGATGTTAATTCACAAGAATGACCATTAATGGTCTTCAGTTTGGTTGTAGACCTGTATTTTGTCCACACAGATTATTATCGAGTTTTATGTTGTTTTTGGCATGCCCAGGAATTTTAGCAGCAAAGTTTTATTTTAATTTCAATGTAATGGTGTTGATGTTTACTTACTGAAGATATCGATTTCGTAATGACTCAGTTGTTCAACCAGAGTTCAAAATTATTGACGTTTTTATTTTACTTTTACTAAACAGAATCCTTTTAGAATTTATAACCTGAGTAACATGTCCCAAATAACAATTCAATAGATGTTTTATATTCTCTACATGTAAATATATCAATACAAAATATTCCTATAGGAGGATTCAAACAAAGGAAAACCAAACTGGGAACACCTGGATGAGGAGTTGCATGTTCTGGTGAGCGTCGAAGATTTTGAAAGTCGTGCGGCGATTAAACTGAGAAGAGCGTCTGAAACAATTCGTGCATTTCTTGAGCAAGGAGTGAGAACGGTAAGTAGAGGTTTTTGAAGTAAAGCACAAAATCATACGTGAACTGTTTTATTTAGGTCTTAGCTATATAGGACCTAAAACGTTCTGTAAAGAGATGCTTCTAAAAATTGCCTTGGAAACCAAAGCAGCGATATGTCGCGACCCGTTCAGAATTCAGTCATTGAAAATTCTCTGCTAGATTACAACCCAGTGCTTTAGTCATCATCATTACAATTTAATCTCCTTGAAAAACTAGTCAGAGATGTTCTTTTATTTTTGTGAGTAACTAAAATGAGTTTTGAGTTGAAGATGGATTTTGAAACACAAAAATACTTTTGATAGGGCAAAAATTCGTATAAATAATTTGCAAATAAGCTCAAAGGAAGGCACTTTGAAAAAATCTAAACTTACTAATTTTTAGCTCTGAAACTGAGAGCAGGTTACGCAATAGCTACTAAACGTTCTTAGTAAATTTAATTCACTTTTGAAGGACGGGAAAAATCTGTTGGTCTTGTCGATATTTTTTGATAAGTTACTTCATATCAGATGTGTATAAAACAACTATAAGGGTTCCGGTGTTGCTCTGTAATCCGTTGAATATAACCCTAAGTTATTGAGTAATCGATTAGATAAAGTACTAAGGTAAAAAATACCACTTCAGTTTGCCTAAATGAAATCAATAAATGTACTGTGCTTCATAAATATCTCAAAAACAATCTACTATAAACAGGTAGTTAGCACTAAAAACAATTTTATGCACTATGCACGCATATCATCAAAAGTAGTTGAATGACCGATTCTAAGTATATCTAGCTACAAAATTTCTGACTCTAATGATAACAAATGTTTATAATCTGTTACTTTACTTGGTTTCACAGTTTTATTGCATATAAACGAAACTCAATCGACTGTTACACTTTCATTTGAAGTGTTCGGCTCGGGTTTTGAATGGTAGAAATTTAACTTAAGGAAACCATAGTTTGTTGGGGCGATGAGTTATTATTAGGAAAGTAATTTCAGATTTTTGATACGATCGTTTTGTTTCGTACTTTTAGCCGTAGTTAAGTAACTGACTGTATTTGACCTTATGATGTCATAAACTATACTTTTATTTGCATCCTATCATTTAGAACCAATTTTTTTTGTTCTCGAATTAGCGGTGAACCATTAATTCGCATAAAGTTTTCTTCATATGAGTTCTAAGGTTTATTAATTGTCTGGTACAGAATAATACAGTTGTATAAACTTAGAAATGCTTTACATCAAGCAATTCCTAAGAATAAATATGATATAAATTTGAATATCAAAGTATTTTCGTTGATAGTTATCAATATCAAGGTTATACTTGATGGTTTCAAATAAATTGAACATTAGGTAGAGAGCTAATAATAAACTGTAGAGAGATTGTATTTCTGACGTTTCGGGACTTATTATAAGCCACTTCTTGAGATAAAATAAAATAAATTCACTCTAAAGAAGTGGCTTAAACTAAGTCACGAAACGTCAGGAGCACGATTTTTGTCTAGTTCCGAAGTATTTTAAGTTGTCGGTTACTCATAAAGTTGGAACGTCGTGAATCTCATCATTATATTCTTATGGAATATAGATTAAAATTGGTTATTTTAGCGTGCTTTTGTACATTCTTAATCTTTTTATAGGTCCCCAGTTAAATGTCATTCCATACAGTTCATAGTTTAATTCTGTTCATTCTTTGTGAAATACATTTCTTGGGTTTAGGTTTCTGATAGAGGCAAATTTATTATATTTGTTATATAAGATCACTTAAAAATGCCATTGGTTGGTCTTAGAGATCTGAAAGATTCATTCTAGTAAAAACTAGTAAGCAAAGCAACTTTCAAGCTTTGTTTTAGTTATTTAGCAAAACGCATTATTTGAAATGCATACTGTATAGTTTCAAGTTAGAAGGATAATGAGTTTTATTAAGTATTGAAAAAATGTCCTAATGTTAGGTATGGTATTGATGGTACAGATAAACATCATTAGAAACGTATTATTTCTTTACATTACCATGGTTTACATCTAAACAATAGTTGTTTCCAGTCAAAAAATTAATCATATCCATAACCTATTTTCTATCAATATCTTAACATGTTTAACGTGATTTTTCGGCATTTTTTTATTGTACTTGTTTTCGTGCGCATGAAATTTTTGTTTGGTGTGGCAAGTTAGTGGTCTACTTATTTTTAATTCATTATTAAACTCGAAAGTTTAAAGGAGTTTAGAATATTAGTGGTAAAGAAATAAGAAATATAATCCATTAGGTATAAACCTAAATTATATGTATTTATTTCCACTTAATTATGTTGTTTATATTCAAGTGAATGAGTATTATGATGTCTTAAATCCCACGCTTTTGAGTTCTATTTCTCTCCACAGTTCTTCCTGTCAGGAACTAACCATTCTAATTTTCCAATAGTGCGCATCCACGATCCCACCCGCAGGATTCGAGCCCAGGACCCAGGGTGCGCACTGCTGAGGAGTCCCGTACTGGGACAAAACAGCCATCTAGTGCTTCCAGGTTTTCTATGGTGGTTTAGCTTTAATTGACTCAAGAATGTAACTATTAAATTACTAAAAAATCCGCACAAAATCCCCTTCTGCTGATAATCCTAACTCTTTTGACCTGGACAATGTTTTCATTTATGATGACTGTCAGTTTGTAGATTTTTTGTGCTCTACTGAACATTGCACTTTTAGCCTCCTGTTTTATCTGAAACTAGAAGAATACTGGACTCTACTAAGTCATGTCAACAACAAGTATTGTTTTAAAGTGTAAGTTTTGTTTGCTACTATTTTACTAGCTTCATTGTAGATAAATATCTATTAGAAGCTGTCTCGAGATTTATTTATAATATGCGGATACTGACCGGGCTTTTTAATTGTACTAGCTTTCGCATCTTCCGAAGCTCAGACCAAGGTTTTCTGTTATTTGACAATAATGATCATAGTCGATCTTTAACCCTGGCTGATATAATACGACATCGAGGATTCAGATCAGTCTTACTTGCTGCTTCACTTACTGAAATGAAACATATCTTTAAAATTTAAACATACACTTAGCTGGTCAACGGCTATGACGAAAATTACCCAGATCCACTTCACCATAAGAATAACTGTCGATCATCAAAGAAATACGGTCATAGTGATGAGTTAAGTGGTCAAGTGACCACATTGTGAAAATGACCAATAAAATTCGACTAACACTAACATAACATTGTCGATAAAGAAGCGTCAGTTAGTATCCATATCCCGGCACTAGTCTGCTGCAATAACTTTGTAATATACTTATCACTTTCATTGACTCTTAAAACTAACATATTTAAAAAATTTCACCTGTTTTCAACGATTAATTTATAAATACTGTTAATGAAATCGTTGTCAGAGTAACTAATTTTTGTAACTAATTAGTTTCGTACCATCTCTCATTTTTTTAAGCAACTGATTATGTTCAGTTCTTTCATGTCATTCACCTATAAATGTTGTCTGTTAATGTAAGCCAACACTGGTTTTCTCCATTGTTACTGTCGCTAATGCTGCTGTTCTTCTTCAAGGATTGTAAAGTGTCACAATGAATAAGCCATTCATTAAACTTTTTATTATTATTATTTAGTTCATGATAACAACATACTACACACAAATGGATTAATATAAATTGTAAATATCTTTGAAATTAATTATTATTTATTGAATAATATTTCACTATCAAATAATGAATATAAGTGAATGTTTCACAATGAGAAAATTGTTCTCATTGTATGAAATTATATTAATCATCGAATTTAAAACGTTTTATAAAATTTGTCATTTACTAATCTATTAAAAAGTAGTTAATTGACAACATAAACACAAAACATTTACTGTTAATACTACAGTTAAAAGCACACAATGAGTATAATAATAAATTGTACATCGATTTTCCAAATTTCTTCTTAAACACACTACTCACATTTCTCAGTGGTTTTTTTCTGAAAAAAAATTATTCTTTAGAGTTCACTATTTTTATATTTTTCATTTGTTTACTAATTATTCATTCCTTTATACACTAACAATCGATAAATCAACAATTGTGTAGTGAAGAAGATACAGTATATATATATATATATATATATATATATAGAAACTAATTATTGATTTAAATCTAGTTTATTCAATAAAAGTAGCATTGATTTTGAGCGTGATAAGCTTAATATTGATATTTTATTAGTAGGCTAATAATAGTGACAATGAAATTAATTATTTCTTATATTCTAAAATTAATAATCACCACGTAGAGGAGTTTATAAATATATAAGCTAAAAACGGACTTTTTTTCAATTGATTATCTGGTTTATATAAGTTCATAATTGGACTATGAAAAAGAGTGATATTGAGATTGCGATAGATGTGCCAAATCTATGAGAGGTAATTTTCATTATAGAAGAGTAATTATTGGATGAATGTGAATATGAGCTGTATTAGCGAATTTGTCTGTATAATTTTGTGTTGTCAGATGTGATGGATTCCTGGAACACTTAATTGATTATTGTTTTCCGTACATTCTAGTAGATATATTGCTTTCTCATATCAAATGAATTCTGACGATTATTGTATGAATTTTCTTAGAAATATCCGTTCTATCCAAAGGTATAAATATTTTATTTATATATGGATTAAAGTCGGTACATATTTTGTACACGCAGATTTTTGAAGGATCATTAGGCAAGTTAAGCTATCAAGTCGAAGCTATTTTTATTGATTTCTTTGCGCTATTTTTCAGTAACAAACTATGTGCTCATCTAACTCTAAATGTCTAAAGTATACGATTTCACTGTTATGGAAACAAAATATGACACTGGACATTAATTTGAACTTTACTGATACTTTCTGTCACGCTTATTGTTTAGACCTAATTGACATTATACACCTGAAGTATTTAGACTTACTTTCTGTAACAACTTATTTGTTGTACACTTTCAACAATTCATACATGTCTAAAAAACAAGATTTAAAATTTTAGTTAA